ATGTTTGAGTTCCAATCGTTGTTGCCTTCTTCAATCATCATCCTCATAAGGTTGGTAATCTCCTTCTTTGATCCAAGTGTAATAGGATTTATATCAGAAATGCAAAATTTTGCTTTTGTTTTGGATTTTGTTATGAAGTGTGATGGTTTTAGAAATGGTTATTTTGTTAGAGTTGGCAAATGCATGCAGTGATACAGGTTTATAAGAAGCCATGGATGAAATTTGCATATTTTTACCATAACATAGCTTCCTTAGATTTAATTTTGTTATTTATGTTTTAGTCACAGATCCAGTCTTCCAGGTTTGTTTAGTGAGGTTATGGATGATGCTTCGGTAAAGGTTCAAATGCTTAACAAGACAAAAAGGAAAAGTAAGGAGGAGCAGTTCGATGCTAAGTGCACAAGTGCGATGAGGATAGAAGACTACCATAGTTATCGTTTTGTCAAACGAGTTATTGTTTCGTTTGCATTCCATAGAGTTGTGAAACATTCTATCTTGTTTTGTGTAGTCGACATAGTTGTAAAACATTATCTCTTGTGTTGTGCATGATAATACGAATATGAATATGACTCGTAGTGTTGTAATTGAAATTTAAATAATGAATGTTCTTTTGAACTTTTTGGTATTTATTAATATTCATATATATATATATATATATATATATGTATGTATATATGTCCCATCAAATATATATATATATATATATATATATATATATTGATACCAATGTATCATGCATTTCTATGATGTTCATGCGCCAAAGAATTTTACGATACCATTGTATCATAATTTTACTATGGTGTCATAATTTTATGACACTTCCCTGTGACACTAATTTTAGTGTCGCAACTCCCAGTTTTCGTTGACACTTTCTCAGTGTCATTAAAACTTTCAATGATACTAAATTAATGTCACTATAGAGCAGTTTTCTACTAGTGAACTTTAATAATCAACAAGCTTCAAGAGCAATACCAAGAAATGGAAGTTTAGCTCCTCATTTGGAGACTAAACATGCTAAAAGAAATATAGAGAAATGCTATTCTAAACTGAGCTTAAGAGTATAAAGGAATTGGTTCCTAAAAGTGAAGGAAAGGAGGTGTATTTATAGGCTCTTTGAGGTGCAGGTCGAGTACTCGATCGAGTATGTACATATACTCGATCGAGTATGTGTAGAACTTCGAATTCGATCCATACTCGATCGATATTCGGGTATAATTTACAGCTATACCCGATCGAGTATGTCGGTGTACTCGATCGGGTATGACAATAGAACGTGGCCAAATCTCTCCTTGCATGTTCATTTGTTCCCGGATCGGATCCTTGAAAATCAGTATTGATACTCGATCGAGTATAAGGTATACTCGATCGAGTATAGGTCAAAATCAGGATCTTTCCTTCTTTTTGTCTTGTACTCTTGCACCTTCCTTCACCATTGATCATTTGATTGATCTTGGACCTGTTTAAGCTCAGAATATACCTAATCTAAACAATTTACAAGAATTTAACAAACTAAACTATTACACCGAAAGTGTGTAATTTCCGAAATATTAAACAATCAAAACTAACTAAGAACGTAAATAAACATACGGAAATTACAAACGTATTATTCACTTAGTATCACATCTGAACAAGATGGGTAGGAAGCTGGTAACAATCTTTATGCTGCTGGACCATCAAAGGTTCCATTAAATAACTAAATCCTGAAATTTTCCATGCTCTGCTAATTTCACTCTTGGCATGAATTGCCCCTCTTTCTTGGTTGTATTATGGAAGACTTCATTTTACCCCTTTTGGTGTCACTATATTTAATATTAATGATTGTTGTGTTTGCATATGATACAAATTTATGGGAACTATTTTTCAGGTTGTCATCACTTGCTTAAAAATAGATGGAAACCTTCTTCTCATTGGCAGTCACCGGAAAGAAAAGGTAAATAACACGACATCCTCAACAAAAGTGACAGAGAACAATCATTTTATGGAGTAGATAGGACAGCCCGGTGGCGGTGCACATTGGCGTCCCCACAAGGCTAAGGTCTGGGGAAGGGTTCCACCACAAAGGTGTACAAGGAGCAAGTCTTCTCTTGTCATTTTGACAAGAGGCCGCTCCCTAAACCATTTTATGGAGTACAATGATGAAAGTAAATATTTTACTTTGTTTAGGGTATAAATCATGAAAGCTATATCTTTCTGTGCACCTCTATTTTCTTTTACATTAATGATTATGGGACCTACTGTTTGAACCATTTGAAAATCTCTTGCATGATGACAGGGTCAACCTCCTAAACAATTCAAGATCGTGATACCCAAAATTCCTGCATGTATCTCACTTACTTAAGACAATCATACTTTCTGTTCCCCATAAAGAATTATAAATCTCCTCTTCTGATAGGAAATTTGATCTTTGAAGGTAGGTAATTACAATTTGGCAAGTGCATTTTATTATATATACAGGCTGGGCTCATTCTTGTGCACTTTATTATGATTGTAGGGAACAGGAGACCTTACAACGACATTGTTACTTGGATGGAGCAATGTAGTGATTTCTCAGAGATATGTTTTCAAAAATTATGTTTCATCTGATAATTTCTATAATGCCATGTCATCATTGTTACAAAATAATGTTTTCAACCATGTTCAGAGATACCGTGATGACCTTGACAAGGCAGCAGAACTAGCAGTATCAAACTTGCTGGTATTTCCTTATGTAGTTAATACTACGTAATTATTTAATTGCTCGTATACATCTATGATGATATTTCCTCATAGATCAATCTTTGACTATGTCTTTTTAAGTGTGCTCGATTGTATTACAGGTATTTGATATCTTTAAGTAAACATAATTTTCTTAGTTAGCATATTTGTTTCATTTTCATTCCAAAGTTTCAAGTGGTGCATCTCTTCGGGCTTTTCTACCCAATGTTTCTTTTAGGTTTTGAACTTACTGTTTTTTTTTTTTTTTCAGATTGAAATTTTCTTTGGTTTCTACCCATTTCTGCAGATGATGGTTTAAACCGCAAGTCGGAAGTAAAAGGCAAATCTTTCATCATGGTCTCCAATTGTAGATAATGATTTCCAGTTGATTTTCCAGAGGTTATATGTTTTCCCTCTTATATTCTTCTTTTCCTCTTGGTTCCAAAAGGTGGCACACAATTCCTTTCACTTTAGGGTAATTAGTTGAGTTTTTCCTTGAATGTGTTTCTACTTTTTATGTTATACATTTATCATTTGTAAGTATCAAACTTTGATACTTATCAAACTTTGATACCAGTAACAAAAATGTGCTCCAGTTTTCAAACTTTGAAAAATGAAAAGTATCAAGTCTTTGATATAAGCATCGGACTATCCATTTGAGCCCTTGTAATCTATTTAATTTCATATGTTAAACGTTTCCATGATTTCCGGTGGAACCAAAGACCCAATATCTTATCTTATCTTTTTATCTTCTTTTTTTAGTCTTTTTTATCTTTTTATTTCATATGTCGTATCATGTTAGCTGACCCCAAACTCTTATGGGACTAGGCTTGGATGTTGTTGTTCAAACATAATTTCAAGGCCAAAAGAAAATAGAAAATGGGAAATGGAGAATGAAATCAACATAAATGAATATAGAGAATGGAAAACTAGAAATGTTATTAAGCAAAGCATACTTTTTTTCCTTGCATCTTTTTTATGAAAAGACTTTGAAGTCTGAATCGTCTGATATAATATTATAAGTAATCAATTTCAAATCAACTATTTCAATCCAGCACTTAAGAATTGATATGATTATGGTGTTAAGTTGTTAACAAAAGGCAATTGTTTTCATTTTGTATCAATTTTCCCAATTGGCAAGGATTAAAGCAATGGTGCAACTGCCATGGTTGAACTACTCTTTTCTGTTTTGATTTTTTTTTTTTTTTGCACTGCTTCACTGCTTGTTTTCCATCGTTGGGCATGGATTTCGCGCAACGCGCGCTACCATGCTAGTACATTAATATACATGTATATAGAAATATATAGGACACACATATATTGATTATTTGAATAACCCACTGGCCACTTTCCGTAATTTAATATTTCCTTTTTATGTGATTTCAATTATGCTCTTTCTTCTCTTTCAAAAAAACTCGGCTCTTTCTTTAATGAAGGATTCAAATAAAAGTTGAATTTAATATTTGTTTCATATTCTTTAAAATTAAAGAACGAAACAAATACAACGTGATTTACCTGTTATCATATTGTATAATTAATTCAACGTGACAACAATCGAGGATTTGTAAGCAGGCAAAAGATGAATTACCTGAAATAGTGAAATCTATGTATGAAGCTGTTTTTTCAAGGTTAGGAACGAAGCTGTTTTTTTGGAGAGACGTAGGAAGCTGTTAAAAAAAGAAAAGTAGTTTAGGTTTATTTCAATATAATCTTTTCCACATGGGATCTGTCATGGGCTGTTTTTTGTGCCGCATTGTAGAGCTTTTTTAACCTTCAATTTCTAATCGGACTACTTTTTATTTTGTGGACTAGAAAGTCATTTAACTTTTTGACACTTGGCACTTTTAAAATAGACTAGAACTACATGGGTTGGAGATGCTCTAAATTAAGACAAAATTAGTTTCAAAGTACATTTGACTAATAAAATAAAAAAATGAAAATTAGCTAAAACAAACAGTACAACAACTTTGATCAATCCAGCCAAAAATAATAAATTCAAAAGTTTCATGTTTAGTAAATACGGATTTACCAAATGGTCCTAAAATGCTCATTTTAGGATAAGCTGTTGTACTGATTGTTTTAACTAGTTTTCATTTTAGGATAAGTTAAAATACTCATTTTATTTAGAGGTAATCAAATTCAAAAACTGCTGCACATACTGGAATAGAATTTACATAAAATTCATACACAACTTAAGTAATTTTTGGTGTTTTACCTAAATTAAAAATGCCATGTTCTCAGTACCGAAGATGTTCATAGAATTCTTACAGGGAATATGAATATACATTAAAAAAATTCAATTTTCATCCATTTCAAGTCCACAGGTGATCGAGAGACTACATATTACTCCGTACTATTGTTTTGGGTAAACCATTTACTATACGTCTATAATTAAACAAAATACAAAGGGAAATTAAATTAACTGCGCACCAAATAACAAAATAATAATCGCGATAAAAGCAAGAGAGGGGGAGGCAAAGTCTTCAACATTTAAAGCCAAAATCACAAGAAGCTAAGGGAGTTCGTCTGGTTATTGAAAATGTTTTTGAGAGCAACAATTTTGGCGTTTCTGCTGGTCGGCTTGGCCGCCGCCACCTTTGAAAGAAAACCATACCCACCTTGCGACAAGTGTAACTGCGTCGGGAATGGGTGCGAGGGAAGATTCCCGGCGGAGGCGGCGGTGGAGTGGCCAGACTTGGTCGGAGTTGATGAAACAATTGCGAGGGTGACCATTGAGGAGACCAATTCGTATGTGACGGTGGTGACGGAAAATGATTACAAAAATTGCCCGTATCTGGTGGATAGGTGTTGTAATAGGGTCGTCCTATGTGTTCAATATCACCCCACAAATAATGTGACCAATGTCCCTAGGGTCGGATAGAATTGAAAGAATTGAACTTCACATTATATTCACACACATTTTTGTTTTACAATTTTAATACATATTACTACACCGATCATGAATTCTTTCGAGTGTATCACAAAATGAAAGTGCTATTTCTTAAGGTACTAAAGAGTTGCAACATCCTTTTTGGTCCAAATATTTGTAATAGTTTGATATATCAGTCCCTACCATTATATTTGAGCTTGATGTATAATGTATTGCATGGGAATTGGATTATATGAGTACAAAGTCGTATTACAAATCAATACATTACAAAATATCTTAAACCGGCCGGAGGGGAAAAATATACTATCGTATATGTTTACTACGAAGTCTACTAAAATTAATGACAAATTCCCAAAATAAGATGAAACATAATTTTGAGCCCGTTTGGAGACCTCTTTTTTCCGCTTATCAGGCTTATCAGCCAGCTTTTTCACCAAACACGTAACTTTTACTTTTGTGTGCTGAATTGTATAATAAGCAGAAAAAGTAAGGTTGGAGTTACTTTTCTGGCTGTATTGGCTGAAGTTACTGTAGAGGACTATTTTAGCTATTTTTACATGTAATTTTTTCTATAATTTATTAATAAAATATATTTTTAAAATATTTTTTTCTTGAATCATCAGAATCAGCCAAAACAGCCAATTCAGCCAGAATTTCATAAATTTCAGCAGAATCAGCCAAAACAGCCGATTTTCGTGCTACCAAACGGGCTCTTTGTTTCAAAATATGACCAAGACACATATATATGGAACCAGATAAGAAAAAGAAAACACATAGTAGTATTCGTGCACGTCTTATGCCATGAAAAAAGATACACTTTATGTTTAGGAAACATATACAGTACATAAGATTTTAGTGAATTGAACTATGTTACTAGCTAGGAAATAACTTTATGTTACGGTACACTATTTTAATTTGGTCGTGCTCTAATGAAATATGAAATGTTTCATTTTTAATGAGAAGCTAAAGTCAGGAAGAAGATGATATTAATTTTCTTTTAAGTGTATATAGTAGTAAAGTTATGTCGATTGATTTCAAAGTAGTACCCTTAAGAGATAGCTAAAATACATAGAAGGAAAATTCTACGATTACCTTAACAAATCATATCTTGCTCATATAAACCAATTAAAATATTACAATGAATAATTTAAATACACATAAAAGATGAAATAATAATGACTTAGAGTCTTAGATCAATCAAATGTAAACAGTTTGGAGTTTGAATACCAAAATGTTTTTATCCAAATACTGAGAATTTGTCCGGTAACATCAAATTTGTTGAATCTGGTTGAGTTCGGAGTGAATGCAGCTCAATTGGCTGAGTCTAGTGAAATACAAAAAATTTTATACTTAAAATGTATTTTATTAAAAAAATAAAGAAAAAATATATAAAAAGTAGCTAAAAGGATTATTATCAATATTAAGTTGAGAAAATTCGGTTAGAATATAACTACAATCTTATTTATTTTAATTATCACTTATTTCACTATGTAAAATCAAATGCAGGTGCTTGGTAAAACAAATTGGTTGATAAGGTTTATAAGTCGAAAATGAGCTTATTATTTACGATGTTTGTACTTGGTTTGGTTTCAATCCTACACCACCACATTACAACAGATCAAACAAACTTAAAATGACCAAATCAGACTTTAACAGTTCTAAAATGCATATAGACTAAACATTTATCAGACTAAATCAAACCACAAAACTCTACTTCTTAACCCTAGAGCTTTTCTCCCTGAGTATTCTAGGGTTCTTTGGCTACTAGTTTTTTATCCCTTTTGTTCTACAGCAATCCTTTAGGTACATCCCTACCTGGGTTAACCACGCTAATGGAGACAGAGGAATTAGAGAATCAATATGCTGGCCTGAAGATTGTGGATGACGACATCGCGATTGATTTTTTGGAGCAATCTCAGACTGACGTTGTTGATGACTCTGATCGCACGTCATGGTCAATGGTTGGACGATTCCTTACTGATAAACCAATAAGGTTTGACAAAATGCTGCAAGTTATGGCTTCGATTTGGAGGCCCTCACGAGGAGTGGATGCTACGGAATTACAAGACAACCTCTTCCAGTTCGATTTTTACCATGAAAAAGAACTTCTCCGTGTTTTGGAAGATGGTCCTTGGGCGTTTGAGAATAGTACACTTGTGTGCAAACAGTTGGAACCACCAGACGCCAATCCCCTTGATGTGAAACTTGATTCCTTCGCCATCTGGATGCAGATACATAACCTACCGGCAACTTATGCTAGTGAGCATATACTAGAACAAATTGGAAATTTTGCTGGATCGTTTATGTACCAGGATCCACTGAATTTCGGTCGTTCGAAGAAAAGCTACTATCGGGTACGAATTTTGCTTGATGTCTCTAAGCCACTGCAACAAAAGATGAAGATTCGAAAGCGTGATGGTTCTCTTGCATGGATCACTCTCATGTATGAGCGTTTAAATACGTTCTGTTTTTTCTGCGGGATTATGGGGCACCAAGTACGATATTGTTCCAAAATACTGAATGTCAATATTACTCCAGATGAATATTCTTATGGTCCATGGCTAAGGGCCAATTTACGACGGAACGCTCCTACAATTGGAAATAGATGGATAGGCAGACAACCACCTCCAGTGAAAGATGAAGCTACAGAAGATACTTCTGGAGAGGGGATGAACAATGATTCAATTTTAGCCATATATCACAAACGCGGGGGGCAACATGAAAGAGAATCTCTGGCTTCTCTCTACTTTTCCGGCAACAGCCTTGTGAATTCAGCCATGAGCGTGGAATTCCAGCCACGCCCACGTCACAGGCTTCCCAACCACTTTTACAATTCCTCAGCTCTCCCCCACTGGGAATGGGAATTCCCATCTAATAGACTTCCCCACTCCAGGTATCAAGCATGTAAATACTTGAGACCAAGAACCTTTGTAACTGGGAATGATCCCAGACTACGCTGCGCACGCAAACCAAAACCTTCAAGACCTAACTACTACCAAGGTTTTAAGCCACAAGGACGACCGGAACGATACACGATTTCTGCCAAGAATCAAAACAGAAATTCAAGCAGAGAAAATTTCAAGCCGGCGCAAAAGGTACTGGTACAACGGCCAGGGAAATCGGCATGTTCTGTGCGACCCGTACTTTGTGAATCGGAACAGCCTGGGGACCTTGACGAAGCTTGGCATATGGTCAAACACAGAAATCGGCGGTATTACTCCCACCAGCGTAATCCCTTAGACTTTGAATACGGTAACGCTAATCGATTCTGCTGTTTAGATCTAGATGATGAATACCCTAAGTATCTCTCCCTCCTATACGCTTTTGACCGAGAAAAGGAGAACGGTTTTCACCCCTACAGCCATCCCAATACTTTTCATAGGCATGGAGGTCATACCAAAAGTAATTGGTACGCCTCACGGAGCGACCGGCGGTCTCCGGCGAGGCACGGCCGTAATCAACCGCACGGCTTTCAAAATAGAATGCCAGTCGGGAATCAAAATTCCACACACGAGGGTGGAAAGCTCAGTCGTAAACTGACCCAGCGACCGGCGGTCTCTTCACCGATACCCTCCCCTACCGTTGAACCGGTAACCATGGAGGAAATCACCTCTCACGACACACTTGCTGAAGGCATGGGACAGGGACATGAAGGTGATGGTGGACACCACTCTGGTAACCTGCAACAAAAATCCAAAAACCTCACATGGGCTGACCTTCTCAAAAATGACAGGGGTACACATGGGCTGACAATTGGCAATAAAGAGTCGGCAGCCCCATCTCTACCCGTCACACCCCCCCAAAAAAAACCCCTAGCAGATAGCATCTTATTAATCAAAGACAACTACCCTCCTTCACCTTCTAGTAATACACAGCTTGTGACTACAACTCCTTCCAACCAGGATTCAGAAAAATTCTCTTTTTTTGGAGAAATTGGATTTGACTCTATCCAAATTGATTCGAGAATTTTCAAATTCGCAGTAAAAGAAAATGAAATTTTCATTCTCCAATTTCAAAAATCTAGATTGCACAAAATATCTTTTAATTCCCAATTTGCTCCCCAAATTGTTCGTTTTATCTCACAACTCACAGGGGCCGATCATTGTAATGATAGACAGAGGCGTAGATTTGGAATTATCACAATTGCAACTGAACTCAACAAATCTGGCAGATTCTTGAAAATTGCCAAGAAAAGTGGAGGCTTCATCCTAATTCCCATGGGCCCACATAACAAAGAGTTACATGACTTTCTGGCCATTTTTTCAAATTTTGTGGGACTAACTAGTTTAGTGCAGGAGGAACCAACTCAATTGGAGCACGAGACAATAGCAGACACAGAGGAAAGCACATCCATTTCTAAACTCATATTTAATTTTGAAGTTCAGAGAGCATATGCCGAGAAACATCAGCCTCCTACAGAGAAACAGTCGAAGTTAGCTCTTGTACAGGCGTACTCAGATGCTTCCGATAGTTTTGACCCATCAGATGATTCACACTTCTCAGACGATTTCCTGGGACACGCAACGGAATGCGACCGTCGACCACCCATTTCGGGACGGGAAGATATTAGGGATTCTGAATTCAACAGTGCGATTTGCTATAAATCCCAGTTCATTACTTTGGATAACTGCATCCTAACTGACAACTTGAACACTCAACTCAAGCTATACAAGAAATCCCAAAAGAACAAAAGGCGCCATAGTATGAGAACTAGGTCTCAATCCAAACAATTTCCGTGGGCCTAAAATTATTATTATTATTATTATTATTATTATTATTATTTTTTCCCGTTTTTTGTAATTCCGTGTATTTCCTTCCGTTTGTACTTTTTCTTTCTATGAATAAAATCTTCTCTTCAAAAAAAAAGCCATATATCACAAACGCAAACGGGCTGACAAGGAAGGGGAAAACTTAGCACGGATGGCAGATGTGCCTATGCTGGATCTTCCAAAAAACTTGAATATGGCGGGAGCTGGTCCCCAGCCCCGCCCGAACCAATGAGTACGTTAAGTTGGAACTGTCGCGGTTTGGGCGGCCCGCGGACAGTTCAAGAATTAGTGGATCTAGCCACCCTTAAACGACCTGAGTTTATTTTCTTAATGGAGACAAAATCAGAATGGGAAGCCTTGGAACGGGTGAGAGTAAGACTTGGTTTTGAAGGATTATTCTGTGTACCCCGAGCAGGAATGAGCGGAGGACTTGCACTTCTATGGAAACAGAAGGATGTGGCCAGTCTCATTAGCTACTCCCGAAATCATGTAGATGTAGCAGTACGTCTTCCAGGGGGGCCTATATGGAGACTAACAGGATTTTATGGTTTTCCGGACCATTCAAGAAAGCAAGAATCTTGGGACTTATTGAGAACTTTAAAAAGGAAATCTAACCTCCCTTGGGCCATCATTGGTGACTTCAATGATATTATGTGTCACGCTGATAAGAGGGGTCCTCACCTTCAACCAACATCCTATATTGATGGATTTAACTCCGCCTTAGAAGACTGCGAGGTTCATGAGATATACATGGTGGGAAAACGGTATACTTGGGAGCGAGGAAAAGGCACAGATAGATGGGTTGAGATTAAGTTAGATCGAGCAGTAGCCACTTCTAGTTGGAATCAACTTTTTGACTACGCTAAAGTTCTGAACTTGGATACTTTGAATTCAGATCATTCGGCTTTATTCTTAGATCTACGGGGAGCATGCCCCGGTCGTTTTGTTCGACAATTCAGATTTGAAAATGCATGGCTGCTTGATGAGGGGTGCGACGAGATTGTTCATACAGCTTGGAACGCCTCTATGGGGCAACACTTTGTGATGAGACAAGAAGATTTGGGACGGGAGCTACTTCGTTGGGGAGGTGATAAGCACCACTTATTTAAAAAACATATCCAGAAGTTGAGAATGGATTTGAACGCTCTTAGATCCAGACGTGACGCAGCATCTTTAGCTCAGTTTAGGGAGCTAAACTCCAAACTTGAAGACTTGCTAAAAAAGGAGGAAGCGTACTGGCGCCAAAGAGCAAAAAAACATTGGTTACGGACAAATGATTGCAATACCAAATTTTTTCACCTCTCACTACAACAAAACAGGCCTTTGGCAACGCTCGCAAAATGTTACATTAGATTATTAAAATGTTACAAAAAGCAAATGCAACACTTTTGTGGGCGTTACATCAGGTCTCGTTGCATAAAGTAATATGTAACACTTTTTCTCTTATTATGCAACACTAAATGAAAGTGTTGCATAAATATCTCAAATGCAACACTTTTTTGCAACACTTTAACATGCATTTTAAGCAACACTTTTTTCAAATAAAACGCAACACTTAAGATATGACTTTAAGCAACACTTTTTAATATATATGTAACATATTTGCTATACTATTTTGCAACACTTATTATATTTCGTAACAGTTTAATGAATACTTTATGCAACATTTTCTTCAAATTTGGCAACACTTACCTACAATTATAAATTTATAAGCAAGAATGCAAGATCCTTACCAATATCTAAATTAACCATTTTGTAATATATTTTTTATAATTCTAAACTACACGTATTAATATAAAACAACATGCTTGTATTAAGAATTTTTATATAATACTACGTATATTAATATTACAAGTTTTGAAATAGTAACAATCTGTAATGAAGAAATATACAACACCTCATATGCTAGAAACAATGTCTTGACTATAAATCGAAGAATGTAGCATAAATTATAGAATACTTCTAATAGCAACTAAAAAACTACTAGCACCGGAAACCGAATAAATGGAAGACATGTAACTTCATTTCTTCAACTCTTTTGCCTTGGCAATATCTTCTTACTCATTTTCCCATCAAAGTGCTCATAATTGTATCCACGTCATTTGATGTCATTGAATGCGGATCTTCAGCTTTTTTTTCCATGACAATGACTTCTTTCTCTTTTTCCTCTTCACATTTGTCTATATTTTGTGCCTCATAATCCTGCATTTCAACCTACAATATAAAACAATACACCATATAAAGAGGGCATTGTGGCAACATCATAGACTTCCATCTAGATCATTCTCTTTCTTACACTTTTTTTTAATTAACTTGTCTTTTCATAAAAAAAATCATATTTCAAGTAAAATGACAGTTTTGGTTTGACGATTTGCAACCGGGATAGAAACTGATAAAATTCTAAAACATCAACAAATAACAGATATAGAGCCTTACACACCACTGTAATTAATATGTAATAGTAATTAATTAACTTAAATAAAGAAGCATCCATCTCGGCTTACTTAACAAAGGATGGAAGAAAAACAAAATAGGGCTAAATTGAATAAAATATCAGGCTAGAGTACTGTAAGGGACAAAATTGAGTACAGTCAAAGTAGTCGGGACTATTTTGGCATTTTCCACATATACAAATATACCTTGATATCCTCCTTCGTGATCATAATAAAAATCAAGAACACATACCTCATACAATCTTATGCTCTATATTGAGATTTGTGACATATGGCTGATTTTAATATACTAGCAGAACATCATTTATGTCTTCGCTTTGTCCTTGGTTTGTGCTCATGATCCTTCATTTCAGCCTACAAAAAATAATAATATGCCATTTAGAAAAAGATTACCCTGAATAAGAGAAAATGATAACCTGAATTCTTGCCGCTGTTAACACAAAATATATAACTTAGGTTAGATGAAAGACTAGTGCATGAGTTACATTTGATACTAAAATGAAACAAAAGGACACTTCAAAGTCGAGGAAATTTATTGGAATTTTTACTTACAAGTACTTTAATAGCTTGATTAATTAAAAGAATGGACTACTTTTAAATCAAATTTCAGTAAAATCAAGGAACTCTGCTTAAAAGAAACACACATACATTTCATGGGATGAGTAGAGTCTTTTACGGAAGTCAATAAATCCCAAAATCATGGTTGTTGTCATTAAAACCAGCAAGGCTACACCCTTCACCATTCTCATTTCTCACTAATCACTATTAAATATTCCTTTTTTGTTCATGTTTAGTGTTTATTACCTTAATCGATTTAAACGAAGACATGGAATAGAATAAAGGTCTCTCACATTTATATATAGTAAATTTGACATGGAGAGGTTGATGGTAAAGTCTCTAAAAGTTAGAGCTCTTTTGAATTAAAATAAGACAATAAGGTTTTGGTACTCATCCTTGCCCTGGGCCAGCCACTCCCTCGTCCTAATGGTTTTGGGCTGAATAGAAACCTACACTAAAAAACTTTGATCAGTACACAAAACTTGATCAATGATAGTTACTTATAGGTAGTAGCAAGTTTTAGAAGCTAATAATTAATAATAGTTCATGTGTGCTTAATTGCTTATAAGGTTATAGACTTATAGGAAAACGAAGAAGAGAAATATGACATAGAATAATAGTAGAGTAGTGTTTGAAAAAGGAAACAACTAAAACTTTTAGAAATCACATCCATTGGTTGCTGCAGCCTGCATGAGAGAGAGAGAAAAAACATGATAAATTAATTAGCCGATTTACTTACTATTTATGCTAAACAAAGCTACAAAACACTTACCTCAGTATTGCATACATCATATCAATGATGGATAATATCGTGGGCGCAGTTGGAATACATCATAGAATCAAACGAGCCCAAATAGCAAAACTAAAACAAATACTAGTATATGTCAATTCCCTTTCATAACACAGAAATCAGAACAAGAAAATAAACAATCAGAATCTCATACAAAGTAAAGAACAAAACAGATTGAAAAAAGAATTCAGAAACATAATTGGAAATTACATAATAAGAGCTCTCTGCAAATTCGGTACTTCTGCCCCCTAAGAATTTATGGTGTTTTCTTTCTAGGGCCATCCCAACACTCTAGCCATCACATTTTAAGAGCAAAACGGACATGACTAACATAATTCCTATCTTGCTTTTACAGATTATTTCATTCAAAAAATACTCAAAATTGTATTTCATAAACTGATTCAGACAATCAAACATATAGTATAGTAAGTTCTTTTTGCTAAATATTAAGGCTTGTTGGTTAAAGTAAAGAAGTTTATCTTAAGGTTTTTTTTAGGAAATGAAGCACTTCTAATCTAGCGCCCTAAGTTTCTTGTGATTTCTTCTAAAGTTTTCATTTGAAAGGCTAAAGAGTTTTAATTTGTTTGCGGAAAATGTCTTTCAGCTAAACCGTCTTAGTGTTTTTTTATAGACAGCAATTCAAGTACTATACCAAGTGAAAGTTAGATATCTTTTCAGAATTTTTGACCAATATCATTCAAATATCAATAGTTTGATCTCGAAATTACCAAAAAACTTAAAGAAGTTGTCAGAAGTTTTGTTCAAATTATTGAGCAAGTGAGAAAGGAGGACTGCCAATTGTTTATTGAACGCTAAAGAAATGCATTTTCAGCATTTCAAATTTTAAAAAATTGACAAGTTAGCAATTATCATCAATTCCCTGAATCTCTAAACAAAGCAGTATTTTCTCACAAAAATGGTAACTTTGGCTAGTAGCGTGACCAAACAGGCTCCAAGTAGCCCAAGAAAAACAACATGAGTACTTCAATTCTGCGAGCCCCTACTGTTACAGGACTAAAATGCAGTGAACCTAAAAATAATAGAATTGAATATCCTGAGTTTTCCAAAAAATTGGAAGCCTATGATTTTACGACATAATAGTGAGAATCTAGAACAAATCATTGCAATAAAAAAAATCGACATTTAGTAGCTTCCATCATATTATTGCTCAATAATAATGGGAAAATTTGATTACCTCAAAATGGAGCATTCTTTTCCTGAACCGCCATGTAACTTAGCAGAGCGCCCAATTAATCGACAATTGAACCCGCGAGCACCTTCTTCCGCTCGAGTGCTGACGATCGGAATGAGACTTGTCGCCGGTAGAGTTGGGCTCCAGGACGGTGCGGCCCATCTCAGGTAGAGTAATCGATGTTCGATGGTGTTTCCTCGAAGGGTCTCCAAACAGTGCGGCCAATTGATGCATATTTCATTTTTTCAGTTTTTCTTTTGCGAGCGGCGAAGAGATTTTGTTCGAGTGTTGAGGCGGAGGGTTTTGTTCGAGTGATTTTCAGTTTTCTTTTGCGAGCGGCAAAGTTATTTAATTCCGTAGAGTACCGATGATGGGTTAGTCTAGGTAAGTGATCTCTACCAATTTTTTAGTCCAACTGTATAGAATCAAGAATGTAAATGTATTCGATGTCATCCGCCGGCTAAGATTGAAGGAAATTTTCAATTGATTTAATCGTTGTTTGTGTTTAGATTGGTCTATTCTAGTTTGATAAAAAAATATTGTATGTATTTTTGAATGTCAAAGTTTCTTTTCTAATATAATTTGGTCCGATTTATTTAAGTATTGTCTAATTAATATGATCTAGGATGTTTTTACTTGGACAGAAATTTGCTGGTCTGGTCTGGTCTTAAATGGTTTGGTCCGATAGATGTCTGATCTTTATGTATTTTATAAGTACTCAATTCTAGTTTGATCTGAAATTGAAAAACTTCAAGTGAAAACTAAAACTAAAATCAGTCCAATTAAAGTATCCTTAGAAGAATTAAAGTCAAACGAAGTAACTAACCCTGCTTGGTCGAAAATCCAAAGCTCAAATAAATTATATTGGTGGAATATATATAAATTAAACCACTAAATAATCAATTGTAGTAAAAAAATTACTCATCAAAAAGTAGGGGAAAAAATTGAAGAATTGTGATGCATACTGTCAACACAATATGCAACAATGTTTACATAATGTTACATTTCTTTACTACTACGTATAACATTTGTTTATTTAATGTAACACTTTGAAAATAAGTGTTGCGTAATATTCATGTATTTGCAACACTTTGTATTGAATGTTGCATATTTTATAATTCATATGTTTATGCAACACTTATAAATAAGTGTTACAAAATTTCAACCTTTATTGAAATATGCAACAAAATTAAAAATGTTACCAGAGAAGTGTTACAAAAGCTCTATTTTGTTGTAGTGTCTGCTTCTGCTCGGAAGAAAAAAAACAGTGTGTCTCGGCTTAAAGATAGTAGTGGCAACTGGGTTGAGGGGGATAAGCTTAAGACAGAGATACTCAATTACTATGCTACCATCTTTCAAGCTGGGGCGTGTGAAGGACTAGATAAGTTTGTGGGTCTACAACATGTGGTTACGGATCAACATAACGCAGCTTTGTTGAGACCATTTACACGAGAGGAAGTTAAGTCTGCTTTATTCTCCATGCACCCAGACAAATCCCCCGGGCCAGACGGAATGAACCCCGGCTTCTACCAAAAATACTGGGGTCTTATTGGAAATGACTTGACTACTTTTATTCTACATTGCTTTAACACAACAACTTTCCCAGAGGGCCTTAACAACACTAATGTAGTTTTAATCCCCAAGAAGAATTTTCCAGAGAAGGTGGCAGACTTACGTCCTATCGCATTATGCAATGTTAGTTATAAAATCATGGCAAAAATGATGACTAATCGTATGAGGCATATTATGAACGAGATTATATCTGAGTCTCAAAGTGCATTTGTTCCAGGCCGTCTTATTACAGATAATATTTTAATTGCTTCTGAGGTGGGGCATTATCTACGAAGGAAACGGTCGGGCAAGGTTGGTTGGGCAGGACTGAAACTGGACATGGCAAAGGCGTATGATCGAATGGAATGGAACTACTTACGCCACATGCTAATCACGGTGGGCTTCGCAGAACAATGGGTCAACTTGATTATGCTTTGTGTCACAAGTGTTTCCTATCGTTTTTTTGTGGAAGGTGGATTGACAGAAACAATTTTGCCTACCAGGGGATTACGCCAGGGTGACCCGCTTTCGCCGTATTTATTTATCATTTGTGTTGAAGGACTCTCATATCTTTTACGTAAGGCCGAAGATGCTGGTAGAATTCATGGATGTGTGGTAGCCCGGGGAGCACCTCAGATCTCCCATTTATTCTTTGCAGATGATAGTCTTCTCTTTTTTAAAGCAACTATGCAGGAATCATCTGAGATTAAAAAGTGCCTCACTGACTATGAAAGAGCTTCCGGTCAGTTGGTGAATTACCATAAGTCTGGAATCTGTTTCAGCCGTAATACTGATGTGGTGGTCCAGATAACCTTGAGTAATTTTGTTGGCGTTGACCTTCAAGATGATTATGGTAAGTATCTTGGTTTGCCACCTCTAATGGGAAAGAATAAAACTGAAATTTATGCATATGTTGAACGTAAGCTGCTGCAAAGAGTTAACAGTTGGCGGGGGAAATTCCTTTCTCGCGCAGGGAAAGAAATTTTACTCAAAACCGTAGCACAAGCGCTCCCTACTTATACCATGAGTGTTTGTTTGCTTCCAAATGGCTTTTGCGAGAGGATGGAACGGGTTATGAATAAGTTCTGGTGGGCTGGGGGGAATAGCAGGAATGGGGGCATGCGATGGATAAGTTGGGAAAGATTAAGCATCCCAAAGGCTTTCGGTGGTTTGAGTTTCAAGAGATTAAAGACCTACAACCTCTCATTGCTAGCTAAACAAGGGTGGCGTTTTTTGACGCACCCGGATGCACTTGTATCTCGATTATTTCAGGCTAGATATTTTCCAAATGAATCGTTTTTGGAAGCAAAGCTTGGGTCGTATCCAAGTTTTGCATGGCGAAGCATCTTTACTACTCAGGAAATGCTGGCAGATGGACTTGGTAGAAGAATAGGGAATGAGAAAAAAACGAACATCTGGTCCTCACCGTGGCTGTTTTCAGATGATAACCCCTGGGTTGAATCACTCTCACCCCCAGGAATGGAAGAAGCTACTGTCTCAGATTTAATGATCAATGATGGCTGGAACGAGCAACTTGTTTCTAGCATTTTTTCCCCCCGTGATATCAATTTAATCCTTAAAACTCCGATTAGCCCCATGTTTGATGATCGCTGGTATTGGAGAAATGATATAATGGGAGAATATTCTGTCAAAAGTGGATACCGATACCTCTCTGGATCATTTGAAGCACCCGAAAGTCACTTCAAACGGTGGAACCTTCTGTGGAAACTAAAACTTCCTCCTAATGTTAAAAATTTTATTTGGAGAGGTCTTCGAAATGTCCTGCCCGTTCGAACAGCCTTGGAAGCACGGGGTCTAGAGGTTGATACTATTTTATGCCCACTATGCGGAATGCAGCCAGAAACGGTAAGTCATATTTTTTTACATTGTAACATAACCAATGTTTTATGGCAGCAAGTTGGATATAGCAGCAAACCCGTGGAGGACGAAGATTTTGGGGGCTGGATGCAACGTTGTTGTAGCAATGAGCCCAATTTCCTGGAAGCTTGTTTTCTTCTTTGGGCTATCTGGTGCAGCAGGAACAATTATATTTGGAAGGGGGAATCCTGGGACGCCACACGTACCATTCACTCGGCAATGACATTATGTAGCTCGTGGCAGCAAGCAAGAATTCCTAATCAGGCATCTGCACTTGATTCTTCAACTTGGTGCCCGCCACCTCAAGGTATGATTAAATGCAACTTCGATGCAGCTATCTTTCCCCAAACAAGACAAGTGGGCTATGGGATTATTCTGAGAGATGATAAAGGAAAATTTATTGCAGCCCGGAATGGTTTTCTTAACTGTCATCAAGATCCTTTGTTAGCCGAATCTATGGCATGTAAGGAGGCTTTGTCTTGGTTGATAAATAGAGGCGATGCGAACGTGGTGATCGAGACAGATTGTCTTGTTCTGAAGAATGCTGTTGATCGAGAGGATCACGCGTTGTCCTATTTTGGCTCTTTGATTCGTGCTTGCAAACTGCTATTTAATTTCCTTTTTAATTCTCATTTTGCTCATGTCAAACGCTCAGCAAATGTTATTGCTCACGCGTTGGCTCGGGCTAGTATTTCTCAAAACACTTCTGGGAGCTGGAATGATTCTCCCCCACACTGTATTCAGGATTTGATCCCTTAGTTATATGATCATTTTTTTCCTTCAAAAAAAAACATGGATCGTCTTAAATAGGTTTTGAGATACCAAATTTCATCAATCCTAAGTAGTACTCCGTAGTTACTAACAATGAGCAAAGTATAAATTTACCCCTACAAAACAAATTAAGGCAACAGAATCCATGATATAGAGTCATTAAACTAGGTGATCACGCCCAAATGTAGATACAAAAACAGACAGAGTAAAACATGAACACGAGAAATCTTCATTACTGATTACTAATTAGAGAAGAAATTAACGAAATACAGAGCACGCACTGCCTCCATCCTGGCCGGACCAGATGAACCATCATCGATCATATCATCACAGCCGCTACCAAGCTGATCATCGCGAGCCATGGAACTAAGGGAAGAGAAGCGGCAGCCGAGGAAGAAGACCCTTTCTTGGGAGGCGTCGATGGAGAAGTAGAGGTGGAATCGGCGGCAGGGGATGACGGTGTGGGTGAGCCAGAGTCCTTTACGACGTTGACGGCCAGCTTCATTCCGTTGGCGCAGTGGCCGGCGGAGGAGCAGATGAAGTAGTGGTTTCCGGCAGTCTTGAGAGCGACGGTGGTGGTGCCGCTGCTGTCGGAGGTGATGGAGTTCGCGGCGGTGCAGGAGTTGTAGTCACCCTCACTTACTTCGTTCACCGTGTGCCCGTCTGGGTATTTGAACACTGGATATGCAATTCAAAGTTCAGGGTTACGTTTCTAAAAAAAATTGAATGTCCTATTTTAAATTTAAAGCTCCAAACACACATAATCACTCTAACCATATTGAACTTATCTTTATTCCATTTAAAGGCTCCAAACCACTATTCATACCGTCAATTTAGAGCATTTTTAATCTTTTGCTTTATACGTAGTATATTAAATTTTAATCAAATTTTCAATTTTTTATAATGTTTTGTAGTGGTTTTAATGTAGTTTTTGAATATGTAAATTTTATTTATCAGAACTAATCGGAGTGTGAACATGGATCAAATTGCTTTATCGTCAGTCAAACATCATAAACCGAATTGTGGACCTCTCTATGGGACATTGGGACGGAGGGAGTATTTAATAACCAAATACGTAGTACTCCGTACTATAATTAGGGATGTAAAATAATAATCAAATAATGATTAGTCAATCAAATGCATTGTAGATCATCTAATTTCTCACACATTTCCAAAGGAAGAAAAGCCATCAATGGCTCCTCCCCAATCCCCATTCTACATTTTTTAAAGAAAGTGAAACGTCCAATGTAGATTTAGAGGATGTTCCAGTGTTTTCAAAGGTGTTGGGTGTTACATGGTGCAAAATGCAGTATTTTAGGCATGGCAATGGGTCGGGGCGGGGCGGGTACTACAAGACCCAGACCCGCCCCGTGACTTGGCAGGGCGGGTCCGCCCCGCCCCGTGACCTGCACGGGTCCAAACTTGTTGACCCATGACCCGCCCCATGCGGGGCGGGGCGGCCCCGCCCCGCCCCGCCGTAACCTAATTAGCTAGTATGTATTTTTATTTGTGGGAAGTTGTTACCAATTGAATTTACATAAAATTTATCTCTAAATACTAATTAAAAATTAATATATTAAATCAAATTCACGATACGCTAAAAATTTCAAAAATTAAGGAAAAATTACTCAGACTTGAATAATTAATCTATTTAATTATATTAATCATTGAATATATGTATTAAAATGCTATATATAAAGACGACATTGATAATCCGTCGTTCATCTCATTCTAATATATATTAATATATTATAAAATCAAAGCATTTATGATTTTTTGTATATACACATATGTATGTTGAAATGTATTTGTAGTATAATTTAAGAAAAAGTATGTATACTTATATATTGAGCGGGTCGGGTCGGGGCGGGTCGGGGCGGCACGGGTCAATTCTAATACCCGGACCCACCCCATTGTATAGGCGGGGCGGGGCGGACCCGCCCCATTTGCAAGACGGGGCGGGGCGGACCCGCCTCAAATGTCTCGGGCCAGGGCGGGTCATTGCGGGTCGGGTTTTTTTGACATCCCTACAGTGTTTTCACCCAAACAGGGCCAATGTGTTGGCTGTAGTGTGTTTTCAAATCAAAGAAAAAGAGTGATGGTTGCTTTGAACGCCTCATTCGGAACATGAAAGCAACCTCAGAGATTGCTTTCAATGGACGATGAGACATACTGCTTGGAAATTTATAATAGTATAATACATGGGCATAGTGACGTTATTATGGTGCCTTTTATTAGTACCTGTGAGATGTCATTTACATTGTTTCAGGGCTATGATTACAGAAGACTAATTGTGATTTGAGGGCTAATACTGTAAGTACATAGTGCAACTTTTTTGTATTGAGGTTATGGTTAATAGAGCTAATTACATGTCAACTTTGAAATTTTCACCCCCTTTATTTAATTAAAAGATCATAAAAATGGATGAGATCATGTGGACAAATATGCTTTAGGGCCTGTTTGGCAGCTGCAACGGCTGGAATGGTAGAAAAGCCTCAAAAGGAAGAATCTGCTCAAATGAAAGTGTGGTAATATATTGGCTGCAATGCCTGATTGAGTGTACAATTATAGGGGTATTAGCTTATTTCTGTTGAATATATGGATGTGAACTTTGCAAACACATTATTTTTGCTTGATTAGATGATTATAAGATTAGTTAATTAACTGATTAGTTTGAAAATTTGGCTCTTAACATAAAGGATATTAATATGTTATACGGAGTATACGCTATTGCCTGATCTTAAAACTGTTTTACATCCTTTATGAATTATGGCCAAATTTACATCAGTGAACTATGGTCAAATTTTCTATAGCCCACGAGAGCTATCTAAATTTTAATACCCAAAGAAGGAATTCTTTTGTGAAGTCACTCTAAAGTTAAACAAAACTATTCACAACTTCATTCTTGGTTTTATAAATGGACCTCTTTTCACCTTTAAATAGACCTCTTTTCACCAAATTTCTACATCCTATTAAGAACTACAAACGAAAAGCTGTTCAAAAAATAAGCCTAATTTAAAACAAAACAGAATAGAAATTGAAGTGCCTTATAATGGAGACTAATCTTGGTTTCCTAAGAACTAAGATGTCTACCAGTATTCATGTACGTATAATAGAAGGGGTTAAAGGGGTCTTTACAATCAGCAAAGTTCAATTAATAAATATCAGCTCAAAAAGTCACCTTAGACATGTTTTTTCGGTTGATAAGAAAAATTAGCCAAAACAGCCATTCAAGTGGTGTTTGGTGATTTTTTATACACTTTCAAACTTATCGGTCCATTTTTGTTGCTCCAAACGGCCTCCTAATGCCTCATACCCCTTTTCATATATGTAAATCACTACATTTACAGAATCATAGAATCGATCACGTTTGCTAATGTTATGATTAAATATGTAAATAAATTTGACAAGCTTCTAAATTATTCAAAACTACCGATCATTTCTCTCTTATTCGACAAATTTAAATTGTTTTCAAGATTGTTATGCACAAAATTTATTTTGACACAATGGATTTGGCACATTAATTCCGGTGAGTGTAAAACAAAATTAATGTAGGACTAGAAGTTTTGTAGAAAAAAAAAAAACTTACCCAGAGTATCTCCAACTTTGAAAGTCTTGCCCTTAGACCAGCTTTTATAATCACCGGCAAGTCCCCAGCCATCTGAACCTCCGACGTTGAAGGTCGTGCCCAAACTTGGTACAACATTGCAGAGTATACTAAGAAATAAAACCACCACAATAGTTCCCGCATTATTAGGCACACCCATTTTCTTTCGCCTAGGAGAGAGCAAATAGAGAGAAAGGAATGCTTAATTTGTTAGTTCAAAGAGTGGGTAAAGTTGCTATGGATGATTGATTTTTATAGCTAGGCAGGCATGGGAAGAAAGTCTCATTACTTGCTACTTATATACAAAATGATACGCATGGGAACGTATATTTGTAGGCTGTAGCTCGAGGATTGCCGAGTGAGGCAGTTGTAAATTGTAATAATGTTGTATTATATTGAAGTCTGAGGTTCAATTCCGGCTTGCGTCATTGAGAGACTTTCGTGTCATGTGGTGGCTTTTGTTCTTGTGCACATCAAACGCTGAATCACCTCGTTCAAAATTTGTTAGAGATTATATCAGCCAGCTTTTTCACCAAATATGTAACTTTTGATTTCATGCGCTGAATTGTGTAATAATAAGAATTGGCTGAAGCTACTGTAGATGACCAAGTTTACTAAAATGAATTGTAACCACCCAATTATTACTAAATATGATATGAGATAAACTTAATGTGACGGGCGAAAAAGGTAAAATGAAACAAAGTTAGGAGGACGGAGGGAGTAATAACTTCTAATCCCAGTTGCTAAAATTCAAACCCAAAACTTACCGTTTGAAGAATTCTCTATCTACCTTTTGATTTATGCCCATCAAAACTTCTTCATCTTAACTAATACTACCTCTCCTCTGTCCCGTAAAACTTTGCCAACTTTCCCTTTTTGGATGTTCCATTAAGTTTGTCACTTTCCATTTTAAGTAAAGAATTTGTGGTTCCAGTTAATTCTCTCTCCTCTGCATAACCCTCAACCACACGGTTTTTACTTTATTTATCTCCGTGCCGGTCAAACTTGGCAAAATTTTAAGGACGGAGGGAGTATGAAGTATATAGATATATACTCCGTAGTAGAGTAATAATTTAGCAACCGGATTACTTTAAGAACACTCGCAAGCTATAATTCCTTCGGATGCATGTCGTACTAGTAGTTTTTTGATTTGTTTGTATAAAAGATGCGTGGTGTACACAAAATGTGTACACCTTTTTTGTACACTTGTCTGTCCCTCGCAGACAAGTTGTCTTGTTTGTGACTTGTATGTGACAGATAACTTATCTGCGGAGGACAAACAAATGTACAAAAAAGGTGTACACATTTCATATACACCTAGCAAAACTCTTGTTTATATATACATAATCCACATATGAATTATAATTATGGTATTGCCCCCATGCGTCCTTCCTCCGCCTTCTCACAGGGTAAGGGAACTTCGTAGGTTGTTTTCTTTGAATTTCAAGTTCAACTTTATCAAGAAACTCAAATTAGTTCATCATTATCAAATTGAAACCATGATTATATATGATTCTCATATTGACCACTAAAGTTTTAAGTAGATCAACTTGAAAATTATAGTAACTGAGTTACACATGGGTAAATATACTTTCTCGCCCATTTTTTCTTCTCAACAAATTAAATAGTTTTTAGTCTTTTATTATTTGATTTTAAATATCAAATTTTATCATACTTGAATTTAATTTCGTGGTACAATACTAGTAATGTATCTTCTACAAACATGATATCTAAACTTTTAACTACTCCGTATTAAAAATACACACAGTATTTGTTTGTTTATTGTCCAGGACTTTTAAGTTTTAACTTTATGAGTAATCAAACATTAAAAATCAAGACGAAAATTTATTTACGAATGAGTGTATGCGAATGTGTGTAATCAAATAAAACAACAATAGTAATTAACAATAACAAAATAGTACTTTTGATTTAAAAAAATACCTAAACAATAGTATAGAAATTGATGAATATCTATACTAATATGTTGATGCCCTTGACTAAGGTATTTCCTATCTTATCTGCTAACCATAGTAATTTTAAAATGTCTCATTTGAAACCATTACATCTCCGACAAAGTTGGATATATAACCCTAAGGCTGGCCAAGATTTAGGAATTAATGAACTTTTTTTTTAAAATTAAAAACCCTCTAGCTAATCGTGTAATCTGACAGGCTAACATTCAACAAGAAAGCATTAGTTGGAGACAATTATACTTAACCTGAAAGTTAGCTATGATAAAATGTTCACCTAACACCACTACAACAACACCCATAAAGATCAACAGGGTCCCCGCCCGCATGCCAAATTCAGCTCCATTTTGTCATCAAAGGTAATGAGTTTGGTTGAGGCTAACGTAACTGCCCTATCTTCTCCAATTAAAAAATAAGAGCGCGTTTATTAGTCCAGTTAAGAGCCCTATCTTCGGCTTATTACTTTATATTTATAGTCGTATCCTGACGTTTTCTATCAAATATATAAGTTTTGATTTTGCGCACTAAATTGAGTAACAATTAAAATATATATAGTTGAATTTATATTTTTGATTGATTTGGCAGAAGTTACTGTAAAGAATAATTTTAGTTATTTTTTTTTGAATTCTGTTGATATAGTACTTCATCAGTCCTGCTAAGATTTTCCATCTTTCCTTTTGATCCGTCTGATTAAGATTGTCTCATATCAAATTTAGTAAAATTTGTATAGTTCCAAACCATTCTTACTTTATTTTTACTAACCGTGCTACCTCATACGTCCAAATTTTTAGGGGACCGAGCTAGTATATTTTAATTGTTTTTCCAAAATTCAACAAACTTAACCAATTCAGTCATAATACAATCAATTTTTATAGATTCAGCCAATCCAATCAATTTCATTCTTACAAATACTAATGAAATTCTGATATTGATAACTGAAAAACAAAAGAATTGATACTGGCTGGTCTTTCTAGAAAGCTCACATTTAACTGTACAATAAAAAATGTGGAATTAGTTGGCATTCTATTATTCTTTGGTTCTTCCTATTTTGTTTCTTGATAATTGGCTTCATTATAGCTACTAATCTACTCAATCCTTTTTGTAGTTTTTCTTGGTTTTCTTTGTTTTAACATAGCTAAAGTCACAAAATTCATGTAATAAAAGATTCCCATTTCATATCAAAATAAGAGGTACATAAGAATGCATTGTTGAGTAAGCAAGCCACCGTCTGCAGTTTTACTTGGTCTAAACCTTAATGTGCAAAAAACAGAAGAATCGTGTGCTGATGACATAAAATCAAGGATACAACCCCATGCCTCAATGTACCAAGTCTTATTTTGTTCACCCTTTAAAGAGGGTGGTGGTCATCCTCCTTTACCTGCCATTTGGAATAGCAATTTTTTCTTTTTTTTTCTTTTTTCAAATTGTTTTAATTTTTTATTTGTGACCCAATTTTTAATAATATATCGAATTAAATATTTTATTACTTTATCAATGGTACCAGTATAGCATATAAATAATTAAAAAAAAAAAAAACACTTTATCTAGCATTCATGCCGGGTTTTTTAATTTTAAATATGATTATATGAAATATTATTAGTACCATATGAAAGATCAACTTTGTCAAAGTTAACCAGCACGGAGAATAATAAAGTAAAAACTGTATGATTGAGGTTTGTACAGATGAGAAAGAAATAAAAAAACCATAAAATAATTTATTAGAAGGGAAAATGACAGTTTTTTTAGACGTCTCAAAAAGAAAAGATGATAAAATTTTAAGCGACGGAGGAAGTAACGTTTTAAATTTAATACTACTTATATTTTTTAAAAAGTGGATCACAAATGAAAAAGTTATAATAATTGTAAAAAAAATGAATTATCATACCACAACCGCAGGCCAGTAATGACGGATGAACATCATCCTACTTTGAGCTTTGAGGGTGAACAAAGTTGCTTTCCAATGTACCTAAAAAATGTTTGGCGACTCGAGATGTAGAAGGATCAACCAATACCTAGGGCAGAGCTCGGGGGCCGGGTAGACAATTAACCTCGTGAGTTTTTCTAGTTTTTCAAGCAGGTAGAGCATTGATTCACTTTCAGATTTATATATTTTGTCTCCTACGTTATTACTAATTAAAAGCTATGGCAGAGCTCGGGGCCGGGTACACGATTAAACGTGGGAGTTCTTCAAGCACGTAAAGCATTGATTCGCATTCAGATTTAACCCCCGGAGTTTTTTAAGTTTTTCGGGTAGACAATTATCTCTGGAAGTTTTTCAAGTTTCAAGCGCGTAGAGCATTGATTCACTTTCGGATTTATATATTTTGTCTCGTAAATTATTTCTAATTAAAAGCTATGGCCCAAGAAAAACAGAAGTATCTAAAACATAGAATTAGATAAAGAAAGTTATTTATGTTCTTTCATTTTAAATTTTTAAGAATGATTGGTCCAGATTTGTACGGTACATATGACACAGTACATATGATTGGTTCACATCATTATTTCATCATTTATTTATATTTTAATTGTTTTATTGAAATATTTTGATTGTTCCATATGAACAGGATATCATAGAATTTATTTTAATTTTTTTTTTTTCATTTTTTTACCTTAATATAATACCAATAACTTATACGGATTACAATGGAAAATTGTGCACTCAGGATTCATTTACCTAACTTTATGAGTACCGTACCATTTGAAAACTAAAGTCTTGTGAAGTATACTCTCTGATCCATATTTATGTGTTCCCTACATTTGCTTTTGGCAGTTTGGCACAATATTTTAGGATAGAATAGTAAAGGTTGTGAATAGTGTAAAAAAAGTAGGAGAGAGTGTATTGAAGTATGAAACAGAAGATAAAAGATAGATAAAGTAAGAATAGTTGAGTACGAAGTATTTTATAAGGGATAAACTTACCAAAAATGAAAGTATATGGAATTTTTAAATACATTCCAAAAAGGAAAGTATATAAGAGCATCTCCAATGGTATAATGTGCACGGTGCAAACGTGGCATGAGAGATAACCACATAAATATGAGTAAATAAATTCTTTCTCTCCTTATTTTAATGATTTTATACATATTTAGTAAGTTTTTCTCCACAATGTCAATGAGACCGTCTAAATGTTGACATTGCAGTTGACATTGCAGGGAAAAACTTACCAAAATTGTATAAAATCATTCAAATAAGGAGAGAGATAATTTATTTGTTAATATTTATGTGGCTATCACTCATGCCACATGTGCACCGTGCACATTTTGGCATTGGAGATGCTCTAACTTGAAGTCACTAGCAAACCCGCACATACATGTTTCATTTCAAATATTATTATCGACTTGAAACAACTCTTAAAATACTGTGCATACATAGTTCAGTTTTGATCTTGCTAAGAAAAATCCGACTCTTATCACCTAATTTCACTTAGGTAGCTAAATGGGACGATGATGAAAATAACAATGCGTAAGCGTCTACTTTCCTTAATTTAATGGAAGTGAAACTTTAACTTTCATTTTAGATATCGTCTACAGTAAATGAGCCAAGCCGCTCACGAGCCGCTCGTGGATCGCTCGGGAAAAGTTCGACTCGAGTTCGGTCATATTAAGCTCGGCTCGAGTTCGGCTCGACTCGAATAGTTAACAAGCTCAATTCAAGCCTATTTATTTTAGGCTCGTTGCTCGCGAGCCGGTTCGCGAGCCTTTGTGTCATATTTTATATATAATAAATATATATGTAATAATTATATATATACACTTTTTGAAATATATATTCCAATTTAGGACTATTCCATTTCAATACTTATCACAGATGGAGTATATTATAATAGTAATAATTACAAAAATAATAACATGTGTGTAGTATTATTATTATACTCATAATCTGTAATAATTATAATATGTACTTTTAATATTTATTGACAATAAAATAAGAATGCAAATGTTAGTAAATAAGAAATAACCTAAAAATGAGAATGAAAAAGTACACCTATAATATTTTTAGCTCGAGTTCGAGCATCAAATTCAAGTTCAAATCTATAAAAATTAATTAGCGAAACTTGACCAGAGCTCGAATCAAGCTCGAATACAGCTCGAGCTGAGCTCGGCTCGAGATCGAACTCGAAATATTTAACTCGTCCAAGCTCGAGATCGAGCTCGAGCTCGTGAATTCTTATCAAGCTCAAGCTCAAGCATACCCATGCTCGGGCTCGGCTCGGCTCGTTTACACCCCTAGTCTACACCCTTAGAATCAACTAATCAAGTCCTCGTTACCTTCTTGTTCGTCAAAAGAAAATAGATACACTTTTTGATCTTATAAGCATCATACCAGTCTTATATCAGGTCCATTTCTTTGTTTGTGCTTTCATTTAGTACATGATGGTTTATCATTGTTTGCCCATGGTACTTCTAGGGATGGACCGGGCCCGGATCCGGGTCGGGCTATGGGTGGGACCGGGTTTGGGAATTGGAGGCCCAGTACCGGTCTGGGTAGGTTCCAGGACCGGGTAGGGTCTTATTTAAAAAAAATGGTTTTTCTTATTTATTCCTACCCCCAAACCGCCTAGTACCCAATCCATTCGAAAAAATTAAAAAAAAAAAACATTTTGGGCCCAAACTGGCCGGGCTACTCCATCAAATAGCCTACCCGTACCCCCCCCCCCCCCCCCCCCCGGTTCGGGCCCAAGGCCTGGTCCCAACTGGCTGGTTCGGGCAGGTCCCGCACAATGGTGGCCTAGGCCGGTCAACCCAGGCCCAATCCAACCCTAGGTACTTCTAGCTAAATTTCCAGTGCATAAGCCTCCTTGGTGACGCAAGTTAGATTTTGGGGAACGCAAGTGCCCAAGAAAAAAGAGTCATTTGCCAAATGTAAGCAAGTCACATATATGAACTTAATGTTTATGTGATTGATATTGAATACATAAAGTAAATATGATTTAGAATCACACAAGTTTTATCAAATTTGGTATGAGACAATCTTTGTGGGACGAATCGAAAAGAAAAGAAAAGATGGACATTATTAACGGAATGGATGGAGTAATATCTTAGGAGCAAAAGCTAATAAAAACATAAGGTTTTTCCATTTTATTCATACTATTGAGTAGTTCTCATTATTTCTCTCCAAGAGGGTTCACCTTACTTACTTTGGGGTAAATGGAGTTGATGTATTCCCATTATAAGGTCTTGAACTATTATGAAACCATCACATAAGGTCATGTACTCGATAAAGTGTCATATAATTACGTCTACTTATATAGTTACAATTTGCCAAAGTCACAATAACGGGCTCTATATCCAACATGTGTTGATGTATATTGAAATCACAGAATGCTGGAAATGACCGCAAGAAACTCATTATTCAAGGAGGACTGAGTTGTATCAGTTTGTTCTTTTGCGCCGTGCCGGATGCAACTCTCAGAAAAAAGGTATGCACTTCGGCTAGTTTAGATCCCCAAGAGTTACCAACATCTCAAAAGAAGTAAACAAAGGTTAAGAATGACGGTTAGGGGTTTTCAGGAACAGCTATCCTAACATGATTGTGGGATTTATGGGGTTACATAGTCTCACATGACCATAGAAATAGAAGAATATAATCCGGGGTTTATTTTGAGGTCATAATAGTCTCTCTAGTCCAAATACATTTTCCTAGTAGGGATGGACCAGGCCTGGGAGGCCCGACCCGGCCCGCTACTGTTTAGGCCCAGCCTCGTACCCAGCCCGGTGGAAAAGGGAGGCAGGCTTGGGCTCCTATTTTGGTGGACCTGGCCGGCCGAGCCGGGCCCGGTCCGGGCCTAACGGTCACCAATTAATTTTCCTTTTTTCCCATTGGGGTGGCTGCTAGGTGGGTGGGGTTGGGCGGGTTTGGGGGTGGGGTCAGCCACAAATTGGTATTAATTCAAGAAAACAAAATTAACAAAAAACTAATACAAGCCTGAGCCAAGCCCGGCCGGGTAGCCTGGACCGGAACTGGTACAAACTGGGCCAATACCGGGCCTGATTTCCTTAGTCCCGATGCCCGCCCAGGCCCGAGGCCTGACCCGGTTCATCCCAGTCCATGCGTAGTACAACATGAGGATAAGATATATCGGGATTTTATTTTTTAGTTAAAGTCATGGTCCTCCTCCAATGACAAAATCAAGACAGCATGGTAAAAATAAACATGACACTTGAAAGCATGGTAAAAATAAACATGACAGCATGGTAAAAAAAGCATGACAGCTATGGACCGGATTGTGAGAAAAGGCAATTTTACCTTTTAACTATAATATTTACATTTATCATAAGACCTTGACTCAAGTAGCAATTCAAGCTACCAAGTAGAATGGTATACAGAATGAATTTCGACACTCACCCTTTCAACTTTTCAAGCATCAAGAGAAGGTGATGTACTTTGAGATTGAATATCCACTTTTGTGTTCTCTCTTTGAATTCTTGTGCTCATTTCTACTTTAATTGGTCTACCCATAAATTCCTGTGAAAAATAGAAATTCTTGGCGTTCCATTATTTCTTGATATAATTAAGCATTATAATAGTCTCAAGAATTTGTGGATTTTTAAGATCAAACTTATACCAATAAACGTATTAGTTTGCAAATCAATAGGTTTAAACACCAAAGCATAACAAACCATAGACCTAAGAACGTCACAACCAATGAAGCGTACCTTCCCCTGAAATGCAGACAGTGCAGCTTCAGCCTCCTCCTTGGTGTTGAAGGCAACAAATCCATATCCGGCAGAACGCCATGGGTTTTCATAACATACGATCTTTGCAGAAACAGCATTTCCTTTTTCGAATTTGAAGAATTCCCTCAGGTCTTTCGATTTTGCTTGAAATGGCAAGTTTCTCACAAACAAGGTGTGAATACGCACAGGCTTAGGAGCTATTGGATAAGAAGTTGGTTTCTTTATCTTTGGTTTCACCCATTTAAGCTTCAAAATTCTTCCATCGAATTCCTAGCAAGCACATAAAATAATGAATGAAATATCTCCGAAACTAATTTCAAAATTCTTCCATCAAATGAACGCAAAGCAAAAATTCATATTAATATTGATACTTAGATGCAGAATGCATCCCCCATCCCTGCCCCCCCCCAAAAAAAAAAAACTTAGATGCAGAATGTGCACCAAATGGGTTTTTTTTCAAAATTATTACCAATATAAAGCTTATTTACATAAATATGACTAGTAGTTACTACAATGTAGTGTCATGCTAACTTAAGTTTAAAAATTGAACATAAGGTACTATGATTTCATTACTACATTAGTCACTAGTCACATTATTGTGAACAATCATTATTTTAGTCATATATATCTAATTACTTCTTATTGTTTCCCTGTTTCCACCAACCCCCACTACCACCCGGCTGCTTGTCACCGGAACCGGCACCGCCCTTGCCAACCCCTGCAGTCAAACTCTTTCTCTTTTCCTCGAAAGAAAACTATGTAGAATATAAGGACCATCGTCATCGACAATTTTTCTATATAGATAAACTATCAGGAAAAAGTAACAGGGAGATTAATCTAAGACTTCAGAATACAGATTCCATCTGAAAAGATTGTTTAGAAGGAAAAATCACACGGTAACTAGATGGATCATTCTTATAGTGAAACCCATGTGCTCATAGATGCTAATAGCACGCATAAGATAGTACCTCGTTTGAGCATATCAATCCTAACCTGTGAGCTAATAGTTGAGTTTTATCGTTTATTATATGATAAAAATACACAGAGTAAAACTTCGTTGTCTTGTTAGAATCAAGTTCGCTTGTAATTTGATTGTTAATTGAGAATTTGTTCCACGCTGAATCACTACGTAAAATCATGAGCAACTTTTGTTTTCCTTTTGGGACTTGTAGGATAGAAGACAATCTTGGACAGCTTTTGTTTGACCTTTCAAGATGGAAGACGATGTCTTAACATATCACATTTCTCATTGGAGCTTAATTTCATACAATTGAGTCCTGCTCCTTAAAACTTAACAAGTATCTCAACTATTATAGGTGGGTTTAATTTTTTGTATTCAACCTCAATAAAATCCATTAGGGAGGGCAGGATTTTTACAGCAATGAAAAGAATAGTATTTGTTTTAGCCAAATTAAGCTAAACTATGAATAATGATTGTGAGGGAATCGAACAACTAAGAATCAACACTAAGGAGATTAAGAACAAAAGAAATAGCAATAAGAATAGATTAATATTCGAACAAAGGCTTCTTGCTTAATCGTAATGGTTTTCTAGAATCCAAAGTGGCTTTTGATCATAGTTGATCGTGTATTTATGCCCTCCTCCTTGGTCCATACATAGTATATTAATTAATACATGATTTTCTTTCCTTGGATGTTTAAATTAACTAAGGGGAGTAAGAGCCTTCTTTATTTCTTTCCTTGCTTGATCCCTTTCCATGTAGAGTTGGTCTTTGCTAGGCTGGATTGCTAGAACTTTCCTAACCGTTGCTGGGCTAATCCGGGTAGTTCGGCGGTGCTCCGGCCTATTAAATTATGAGCCTAACAATTGCCCCCAATTCATGATGATGGCGGACACGCTAGATGGATGTCGTCATTATGAATTTGAACTCTTGGTTGATATCCCACTTCGATCTACTTGATTGTTCCTTCTTCTTCTAGAGTTGTGCTAACGATCACATCTAGGCAATGCTGACGACTTGGAACTTCATCTAGGTAGATGTTGACACTTCGGTTGGCAAAGGGAACTTCGTCCGTTGCTGCGAAAATCCTGCAAAAACTTTGAGTATTGTTTCATTTACGATTTTGTTAATGTAGTCGACATGAATAGTTATGTTTTATGTCAATGTCGCTCATGTTGTCTCCTTATGTTTTGGAGTTTGTGTTGTCGTGCTTATGAAGCACATGCTTCTGTTGTGTAATTCTGTTGTTTTGGCCAAAACATGCAAGGTGCATGGGTTTGTTGTTCATATGTTTTAATTGCATACGAAGGGCCCATGTCATCCTCGCTCTCCCTTAATGATGTGTTCTGGGAGATGTGTCAGTATCTTTAGGATGTTTGTTTGTCGTCTACATCGGCAACTGGTGCTTGGCTTACTCGTTAGTGCTCTGCATTTTAACATGTCGTCAGAGTCTGGCCGTCGGCTTGGAGCCAACGACCCTCCGATGATAAAGTTAGTAACTGAGATTATGATACATAATGACAGAACAAAGTTTTGCTTAAAGAAAATAGTTTTCCAACTCAATTATTTTTGCTAGAATATCAACTGAGTGTTTAAAGTTTGGTTATTCATCTTTATTATAAAAAGCTTTAATTTGACGAAAATGCTTAGTAACATGAAAAAGGCTACCTGTGTTCGGAAGTTGTTGTTTCTATTGATATAAGATGTAGCTCCTTAATTTGTTTCAAGATGAGTGACGTACTGTTGAGATGATCATGGTTTGTAGAACTTGAGAAAGACTTACCCATTCCGTGTTTGATGATTACCTGTGTCAATCTGTCAGGTTCGACCAGCTTGATGTCGTCAGACCATATCTGATCTAAAGATTCACTTGGCCGTTGGTTTGAGGCCAACGGCCCTCCGACGATCAAGTTAGTAATGGAAATAAATGAAATATATGTTGTATACATTTATGAGAACGATCAAACTAAAAGTGAAAAGGTTTTAAGTGTACCGCATTCCAGCTTCTTGGTACTTGTTTACCGTCCATGGATGCTAACCGGTATGCCCCCTGCCCGACGACTTCGGTGATCTGGTAAGGGCCTTCCCAATTAGGACTAAACTTTCCGCTTGCCTCGTTGCCAAAAGATTTCCTAAGCACCCAATCACCTTTCTTGAATATTTTAGCTCGGACATCTTTGTTGTAACTTTTCGCCACCCTTTGTTGATAGGCCGCTATTTGCACCCTAGCGTTTTCTCTCAATTCGTCTATGGTGTCAAGGTCATGAACCAGTTCTATGTTGTTTGTTTCCTCTGTGATGAGCCCATACCTAGATGTTGGTACTTCGACTTCGACTGGTATGACAGCTTCACATCCATAAACCAACGAGAAAGGTGTTTGACCTGTGGCATTTTTTGGTGTCGTCCTGTCTGCCCACAATATCAGGGGCAACTCGTCGGCCCATCTTCCTTGTGCCTTTTCAAGCCGTTTCTTTAGATTTGAGATGATGATCTTGTTACTTGATTCGGCTTGTCCGTTTGCTTGCGGGTAACGAGGTGTCGACATCTCCATCTTGATGTTGTACTTTTCGCAAAAACGTCTTGTCTTGATGCTGATGAATTGCGATCCATTGTCGCACACGATTTCTGATGGGATGCCGAACCTGCTCAAAATGTTTCTTTTAATAAATGATATTACCTGGGTGTCGCGGATTTGTCGGAAGGGTTCCGCTTCGATCCACTTTGAGAAGTAGTCCGTCATTGCCAACATGTAGACCTTCTGCCCGGGTGCCTCAGGTAGCTTTCCCACGATATCCATGCCCCATTTCATGAAAGGCCACGGAGATAGAACAGGGTGAAGTGACTCTGCATGTTGATGGTGCAATGGTGCGTGCTTCTGACAAGGTTGGCAAGCTTGAGTGTAGGTGACAGCATCATGTCTCATCGTAGGCCAGTAATAACCAAACCTGAGGGCTTTATTGGATAAACTTCTGCCCGCTGCATGATTTCCACATTCCCCCTCGTGCAGATTTTTGAGCACCTTGACAGCTTCCTCAGGGGTCAAGCATCTTTGATATGGACCTGCCTTTGATCGTTTAAACAAAATGTCATCGATTAATAAAAACTTTGTTACCTTAGATAAGAGTGCTCTTGCTTCCCTTTTGTCAGTTGGGAGGATGTTGTGCTTGAGATAGTCCATATATGGCTTCATCCAGTTGCTGTCGGTGGTTGATTCAATGATATTGACGAATTCTGATTTCTCAATGGCGGGCTCAGTCAAGTGGACGAATGGTATGTTGTCATTGTTTTCTGCCCCCAGACATGATCCGACTGCTGCCAAGGCATCAGCTTGGACGTTTTCCCCCCTCGGAACTTGATCAAAAGTGATGTGGTCGAAAAAGTTGCTCAATTTAGTAACAACTTGAAGGTATGCCATCATCTTTAGGTCCTTAGCTGCATAGACTCCGTTAGCTTGATTAACAATTAAAAGGGAGTCACATTTTACCTCGATTAGTTTTATACCCAAGTTTCGGGCTAAGTTTAGTCCGAAAATCAGTGCCTCGTACTCCGCTTCGTTGTTTGTTGCGTTGAAATCACATCGGACAGCTTGTAGTATGGTGCCCCCTTGTGGTGACTTCAGCATGACTCCAAGGCCTGCTCCGTGCATGTTCGAGGCTCCGTCAGTATGCAGTATCCACTTCTGTTGGTGCTGATCGCCTATCAGAAGGCATACTTCCTTTCCCGCTTCTACTTGTAGCTTGGGGCTGAAGTCCGCCACAAAATCGGCTAAAGCTTGTGATTTCAAAGCTGTCCTGGGTTCATATGTGATGTCGTATGCCCCCAACTGTATTGACCATTTGATCATTCGACCTGTTAGATCTGGTTTCCTCATGATGGACTTCATGGGATAGTTAGTACGGACGCAAATAGAATGTGATTCAAAATAAGGACGTAGTTTAACGGATGCTGTAATTAACGCCAATACTAACTTTTCTAAAAGCGCGTACCTGGATTCTGGCCCGTTTAAAGATTTACTTACATAGTAAACTGGTGTTTGTTGTCCGTCTTCTTCTCGGGTCAAGACCGCGCTGACGGCATGCTCAGATACTGCCAAGTACAGCTGCAGTTCCTCCCCTTCCTTTTGTTTCGTCAGTAGAGGTGGTGTTGTCATATATTCCTTTAGTTGTTGCAGGGCTTTTTCATGTTGTTCTGTCCATTCGAACTTCTTATTTTTTCTGAGAATGTCGTAGAAAAGTCGGCATCTGTCTGACGACTTCGATATGAACCTGTTGAGTGCTGCAACTCGTCCGGTCAGTTTCTGGACATCTTTGATTGATTTAGGAGATTCGATGTCTAATATGGCCCGGACTTGTTCTGGACTCGCTTCAATTCCTCTTTCACTGACAATGTAGCCGAGGAATTCTCCTGATGAGACTCCAAATGTGCACTTGGCGGGATTAAGCTTCAAGTTATACTCCTGTATCTTCTTGAATGACCTTCGTAGGTGATCAATGTGGTCTGTTGCCTTCTTGGATTTGACTAGCATGTCGTCAATATACACTTCCATGGTTTTTCCAAGTTGGTCTTTGAAGATCATGGTGACCAATCTTTGGAAAGTGGCGCCTGCATTTTTCAAACCGAAAGGCATGACAACATAACAATACGTACCTGTCTCGGTGATGAATGCGGTCTTCTCTTGGTCATCTGGGTGTAATTGAATTTGATGGTAACCGCTGAAGGCGTCCATGAATGTCAACATTTCGTGTCCTGCTGTGGCATCTGCGAGGACGTCGATGTGCGGCATCGGGAACGAGTCTTTGGGACACGCTTTGTTCAAATCAATGAAGTCAACGCACACCCGCCACTTAGGTTTTTGGCCCTTTTGGTGGCCCTTTTTCTTCTGCACTACAACAACATTAGCAAGCCAATTAGGATATTTTACCTCGCGTATTTTACCAGTGCGTAGTAGTGTCTCGACTTCTTGATTGATGATGTCGTTCCTTTCCCGGGCGAAACGTCGCCTTTTCTGCTTGACAGGTTTATGTGCAGGGTTTACATTTAGCTTGTGAGTGATCACTTGCGGGTCAATCCCCTTCATGTCGTCATGGCTCCAGGCGAAGACACTTTTATGCTCCTTCAGAAAAGTAATAAGTTCTTCCTCCATCTGAGTTGACAGGTTGCCCCCAATGCGGACGACTTTATCCGGATGATCTGGGTCGATGACGATTTCTTTAGTGCTGTTGTCATCTTCCCCCATCGGAATGAAGTCGCCCTTTAGTTGCTACGCCGAAGTCGTCGCAGAGGCGGTTGGCTTCATTGCTGTTTGATAGCATGACTTAGCAGTGGCCCTGTCACCTTGGATGGATTGCACTCCCCATGGCGTTGGGACTTTGACAACCTGGTGGTATGTTGATGGAATTGCCCCCATTTGATGTAGCCAAGGCGTCCCCAATATCATGTTGTAGGCGGGCAGATCTTGGACTACATCGAATTTTACCTGCAAATTAAGACCAACAGCATGTATAGGCAAAGAAACGTTACCTATTGTCTGACTTGTCTCGCCATTGAATCCGACGAGGGTGGAGCCGGAGACAGTCAGGTCTTCCTCCTTGTACCCCATCTGTTTTAGTGTCTTTAACGTTGTGATGTTGGCAGTGCTACCATTGTCAACTAGAACTCGTCTCACCTCACAATTTGCCACCCTAAGAGCAATGACTAAGGTGTCATGATGAGCATCATTTGGGCTCATCAGATCCGTTTCATCGAACGTGATGGGTGCATTTCTCCAAGCCTCTTCCTTTCGGACGATTTGATACACCTGTGATGACTTGTCTCGGGAATATTCCCGAGCTTGTCTCTTCGCTGCAGAGTAGGTTAGTCCACATAAATCAGAACCACCGTTAATGAAATTAATTACCTTTTGTGGCGGTGTAGGTGAAGGAGGTCGTTTCTGATCTATGGACGACTTCTGACTCCTGTGTAACATGGATTTCGTCTGTTCTGACATGATCTCCGTTAGGTACCCGTTCCTCAAGAGGTAGGCAACCTCTTTTCGCAACGCGACACAATCCTCCGTGTTGTGTCCAATGTCGTCGTGGAAGTCGCATCTCTTATTGGGATCTTGTCGCCCGCTGGATTTGTCTGACTTCCTAGGCCATCGGACCTTCTCTCCCAATTTATCTAGGGCGTTGATAAGGCCAGTAGTGTTGACATTGAAGCAGTATGCTGGGATGGAAGGTGGCAGGCTAGGATCATCAAGCCAAGTAGTCGCCGATGCTACAGGTCGATCTTCATTCCTCGCATAAGGCTTCCCCGTCCTGTAGTCGTGTTTTCTGGAAGTGTTTGCTTTCCGTTGTCCTCCTTCATATTCATCAGGCCGATGACGTGCATGTTGATCTTCTTCAAGTCGTATGAAGGCTAAGGTTTTGGCCTGGACGTCACCAAAGGTCCTGCACGGATATTTGGTCAACTCCCTGTATAACTCTGAGTTTTCAAGTAATCCTCTCCTGAATGCCTCCACGGCGGTCGGCATGTCGCATCTAGGAATCGACACCTTCTCCTTGTTAAAGCGATGTAGATAATCTCGCAGAGATTCATTTTGCCCCTGGACCACACGATATAAGTCACTGGTCTGCTTTTCCAGAGTTCGACTACTCGCGAATTGTTGGTTGAATAAGTTGACCAATTCAGCGAATGAGCTTATGCCCTCATTTGGTAGGTTGACAAACCATGTCAGCGCTGGTCCAGTTAATGTTGTTCCGAAGGCCTTACACATGCAGGCCTCTCGCTGATCAGGTCTGACCGAAATGGCCAGCATTCGCTGTTTATACTGAGCGACATGTTCCACTGGATCGGACGTCCCGTCGAACAGCCTCATTGTAGGTGCGGCAAACTTCCTTGGAATTTCGACATCGGTAATATGTCGTCCAAATGGGGATTCGGCATAGCATGTTTGCGAGGCGACATCCAGCGGTGGCGGAACTCCAGGTATCCCGTTGACCTTTTCCCGCATCTCTCTCATCTCTTCCATGAGGGTGGCCAGCGAGTTTACCAGATATGTTTGCAATGGTGACACTGACGCTTCATGTGGTGGTGGCGTCTGAGCGGCTCTTCGTTCGGCTGGCGACGATATATTGATGATTTCTGGTTCCAGAGGCCTTGGGTTGCCGGCGTCGACATGTCTGAATATGTTGACATGTCTTGGAATTTGTCTTCTTTGGGGCTCTGTAAACAAGTTCCGAGAGACATTCCTTCTGGGAAGCGGGAATGAGCCAGGACGACTTGATGGTCCTGCTCCTCCAGATGTGCCGCCTTCATGGTAAGGGACGACAGGTACTGCAAGTGACGACATGATGTTCGACGACGGCATTGGCTGGTTGATAGTCTGCAATCGTGATGTCGTCGGTCTGACCCGCAACGAATCTGGGAAAGAACATATCGGGGTTCTTGTATTTGGGGCTGTTTCCGGGATGAGGGGTTCATATGGTATAAGCTGTGAAATTACCGGGGAGTAAATTCCGTCATTCGAATCAAAACCCACCATCTCCGGGAACGATTCCTTCATGAAGGAGAATGTTGAGGTTGAAACCGGTGCTGACTCCATGTCCATGGTTGAGGTCGGAGCAGGCATTGAATCCATGTCCAACCTTGAAGCCACGGTCATGATCTCCTTTCCCCGTCGTGAGTTCGAGGCTATGGACGCCACCGACTGCACCTGGGAACGCAAAGCGTCATTCTCCCCCTGGAGGAAGGCTATTCGCTGACGCATCTCCTCCCTGACGGCTTCCAGCTGGGTCTGCATCTCTTCCCTCGACTGGTCGGACCTCTTGGCCGCACGCAATTCTTCTCGAACAGCTTCCAATTGGGTTTGAATCTCCTCTACCAAAGTGTTTGATTTTTCGGTCATGGTTGATTTCTTTTTTTTGCAAGATTTTCCCACAGACGGCGCCAAATTGTTTTAGCCAAATTAAGCTAAACTATGAATAATGATTGTGAGGGAATCGAACAACTAAGAATCAACACTAAGGAGATTAAGAACAAAAGAAATAGCAATAAGAATAGATTAATATTCGAACAAAGGCTTCTTGCTTAATCGTAATGGTTTTCTAGAATCCAAAGTGGCTTTTGATCATAGTTGATCGTGTATTTATGCCCTCCTCCTTGGTCCATACATAGTATATTAATTAATACATGATTTTCTTTCCTTGGATGTTTAAATTAACTAAGGGGAATAAGAGCCTTCTTTATTTCTTTCCTTGCTTGATCCCTTTCCATGTAGAGTTGGTCTTTGCTAGGCTGGATTGCTAGAACTTTCCTAACCGTTGCTGGGCTAATCCGGGTAGTTCGGCGGTGCTCCGGCCTATTAAATTATGAGCCTAACAGTATTCTTATTTAATAAAGTATCTTTACCGTCAAATGAAGATTGGTCAGAGCTGCCAAAGCCTCCTCATGCGAACCCATGGTTACAAATGCTAAACCTCTGTTCTTAATCCTGCTATGCATAGCAAGCTTACCCACGGAGAGATAACACATTTAAGAACAATAGAAATCCACTTCAGAAAATTTTAGGAAAAGGCCATTAATAAGGTCAAAGAAACAAAAATACAAACCTCAATTTCAACCACAGTGCCATACTTCCCAAAAAGAGTACGAAGATCATCTGCGGTGGAGGACCAGGGAACATTTTGGGCTAAAACTCTGTTTCCGGAAGCTTCCTCCCCAGGCTGCTCATCTTTTGTTCGAACAATTTCCTCAGAGAATTGCGTGGCGACTCGGGAGAGATGAATCCCGATCTCGGGCCTTTTGAGAGTAACACCAGTAATGGGTAGCGAAAGAGAGTGAGGTGATAGGAGAGAAGTGGATGTGAGAAACTTGGATAGATGTGAAAAAGAAGGCGACGAAGAAGGCAATTCTTGAGTGGTGAAGCGAAATGTTGAAGGAGAAGAGAAGATGCCATGGATAGACATTAGAGTGGAGGATATTAGCTTCAAATTTTCAATGGCAACAGTTTCCTACTGGTGCGTGCTAAACCGCTGCTACAAAACTAAAACTATCCCCTAAAATTGAATGAGGTCAATTATGAAGAAATTGTACCTAAGATGTAATCCGCACATTTTTCAAGAATGAAATAGTATGGATAATAAATGCATCAGATAGTGTAGAAAAAGTATGAGAGGTGGTGAAAAAATATAAAAGAAAAGATAAAAAATAAAAATAATAATAATTCAGTATTTTAAAGGAAAAACTTCACAAAAAGGGAAAGAAATAATTTCATAAATATGACCAAAATAAAGATGGTTTACAAAAATATGACTAGTTACATAGTAATTCATGTTCAAGTTTTGGTCCCTCGTTAGATAAGTTTCACCATTCCCTAAAAAAAAGATAAGTTTCACCAAGATTTCTTCAATCTCATATATATTTCGAACTTTTAAATAAAAGTAACAAAGATTTATTGTTTTAAGCTAGTACCTTTCGATTGTGTCTGCTACTAGTCCTATAATTTTACTCACATGTAGATGTAGTTATTTACCTAATAAAATTGTCAATAATAAGAGTTATCTCATTGGAAAGTATGTGTTCTTGCAAAAACAGTATTTTTTGGTGGAAAAGTTCGTAATACACGTAAATTTATTAATTATCAAATTAAATCTGCAAGTGAGTAAATTTATAAAACTAAATTTATAATTATGATAAAGGTAATTAGAGTTATTAAATGTTCATTAAAGGATAGGGAGGGGGTAAGTGTATATTTTTAATAGTGCAGGGGTCTAGGTGATAATACGTGAATCATCGAGAGTGGTCATTGATAATATCCCTTTACAAAAATATGACTAGTTACATAGTAATTCATGCTCAAGTTTTGAACATGGTTCATAAATAGAGTAGTAATGAAATCATAGTAATTCATTTTCAAGTTTTGAACTTAAGTGACCATAACACTACGTTGTAGTAATGAATAGTCATATTTATGTAAATAAGTTTTATTTTAGTAATATTCTTGTAAAAAACCCTAACTTTACATATTTTAATTATTACACAATTTAGCGCGTGAAATCATAAATTTCGTGTTTAGTGAAAGAGTTAGATGATAAAGCTGATACACCGAAAAATAAGGTCACCAAAGAGGCTCCACATCGCATTGAACGGGTATGGTCCCCAGTAACTTCAGCTAAAATAAAGAAAAAAAATACATTAAAAATAGCTAAAATGGTCCTCTTTAGTAACTTCGGTCAATACAGCTAGAAAAGTTACTTTAATCTTACTTTTTCCTATTATTATTACATAATAGTATAATACAAGGCGTGAAATCCAAAGTTATGTGTTTGGTAAAGAAATTGGCCCATGAATCCGATAAATCGAAAAACAAGATTACCAAACGGGCTCTATAAATGTATCTTCGATAACAAATTAATTGGTCTTGTGTAGACGGATCTGGATCCTTTGCCGTAAGGCAGAGGTGCCTTGCGCATCGGACGGCACGGGAGCGGCCAAGACAGCCTTGAGATCGGCAAAAAAGTGGAGCCCAAGATCTCCAACTGTTGAATTGTCGATCGGACGACCGGGAAGAAGCAAGACACTCTACCTTACTCTAAAGTAAGGTAAAGGCTCCGGATCCTGTGCAGACAAGTCACATTAGCATTTCTAGCAAAATTATTTTTTAAGTATAAGGACTTCAATGGTTAGAACTTCTTCATCTCATTTGTTATTAGTGTTATTATATATTCTTTCCTCAAAATTAGCAGTTCATTTTGGTCAATCAGCTTTTTCAATGTAGAAAAAAGGTAATGCTCCAATAATTTGCTGTTTGATTTAATATTTCAACCAAACTTTGTTAAAACATGTCACATTGGAGATGCTCTAGTAATATACGGAGTAATATACACTGAAGACAAAACCAACTAACAATCCAATCACTATCTTATGATCAGACACATAAACGGTATCCCTTACAAGACCTGCTAATCACTCGGTCTATATATCCTACACTCGGGTGTGCGTACATCCAACCCAACTAATGAAGACAGCTCATTAATATACACTGAAAACCAATAGATCCAATGTTTACGATAGAAAACCAGCCAAACATCCAATTTTGTAATGGTGACATTTTTTTAATCTAAGTGAAAAATTACGGTTTCCGCTAAATGAGCATTAGTGTACTTTAGTGAACGTCTGACCTATTCTATTGAATATTAGGAGCCTAACAATGAACATCACGATCTTTGTTTCATATCTTCTAATTCACTTTCTTTTTCTTTTATTTTTCTTTTATAAAAATTGATTAAATTATACTACCTCCGTCCCGAAAAGGTTGTCATTTTGACTTTTCTTGGTCAATGATGGCAAACTTTGGACAATGATTTTAATTACTATATTTATATATAATTTTTAAATTTTATAATTTTATGAAAATATTTAAAATAAGGAGCATTTTGATATTATTTTCATATTCAAAATAATTTCATATTAGAAAATATGGTCGGTCAAAGTTGATCGCCATTGACCAAGAAAAGTCGATTTGGCGAATCTTTTCGGGAGGGAGGGAGTATCTATATTTCACTCCTATGCAAATTTAATGTAATACGATACTTTTGAAATATGCATTGATATAAAAATTTAAAAATGAGTACAACATCAGTACCAAATAAGCATATATAACTTACAAAATGCTCATTGATATAAAAACATAAGGTTTGTTAGTTGAACATCACAACATTTTCATTGAGCATCAAACTTTCTCTATTGAGATGAAAATCACGGTTTCTGTTAAATGAACATTAATGAAATTTTAATGAACATCAAACCTATTTTGTTGAGTATTAAGAGACCAATATCCAGACATTTCATTGAGTATCAAAAGATTTTCATTGAGCATCAGTCTCTTCTATTGAACATTGGAACTCCGTAATTGAGCATAAAATTTTCTAAACCTATTGAGCATCAAAACAACTTCATTGAATAGCCAACCATAATAGGCTTATCTTAAGATGTTATATCGATGCACATTATGTGTAAATATTATACTCATTTGAGTATAACATAAAACTCATTTTTTGTATTCATTGTATAATGTTATACCAATGTTCATTTATTTGAAAGTTATGCTGATATATGTATATATAACATAAAATCATTTATATAACTCAAACATGTAACATATTCATTACAAATAACTTAGAATAAATCTTTCTTAGTAATAAAGCTCAAGCAATTTTAACACATTGCACATTGTAAAATTGGTGAATACTCATTTTAAATGTAACGATAGAAAAGTATAACATTAATTGCTCAAAATATCACATAAGAATCATTAATAGTTGAATCCAATATATAAAAACCAAACATAAAATTTAATAGCAAATTGTTTAATTTGTTTTTTGAAAGGAACAAATAGCTTAGGTCCATGTACCTGTCATGTAAGCTCAACTCAGTCCCTGAATTAAAAAAAATATCCAATGCACACCCCGAACCGGCAAAAAAAGGGGTTCAAATTTCATTTTTTACAGGTAAACAACCCGTAAAATTACAATAATAAAGTAAAAATTGTATGGTTAAAAATTTTAACAAAGAAATAATCAAAACCACTGATTAAATGAAAACTAACAAAGGTTTTAGAACATCCGAATAATGAACAGAGACAAGGAGACAAATTTATAAGTCCTCAAACTACTTTGACACTCTCAACACTCTCAGATTTATTAAGAGCATATTCTTCAGTTTTTTGGCTCGACAATTCCACAAACGACTCCACGCGGTCCTCCACCTTTTCCTCCAATTCTTCCACCTTATCAATTAGCTCTTCTAACTTTTCTGCTTCCTTATCCACTTTCTCAGCCGCATGTTCCACCAACGCCACCGCATCTTTCAATTTTCCGGCCGGAAGATTCTCACCTATATCTTCGGCCACCTTATCCACCACCTCTGCCACCTGCTCTATACGGTGGACCACTTCTTCCGCCTGTTGTATAGAATCTGTAGTGCACCCATATAAAGTCAAAGAATCATTTTAATCGGAACATTAAAAAGCGAACAACACAGACATCCCATTTTAGTTGTACTACTTAATAAGTGTCTATTTGTCTTTTTTGGAAAGAAATATGTGGTCTAAATCATTTCATTTATTATAATCAAACTTTAAACACAATTTTTACCTTTTCAACCACTTCATTGATAATCGTGTCAAGTCAAACTAAAACACATAAAATGGGACGTGATAATATTTGAATTTAATTATTAGATGATGACTTTGGAGCGTAAGAAGTTTGATTAATTAAGGTCATCAATCGTAAAACATATCCGACTCTTAAACCGTCAAAGTTAATATCCTAAGTTTCCAAAAATAAATTTGAGCTACGGGTATGTTTGCAAAGCTAAAATTAGTGTTTTCAAGTTGCAACTTTAACTTTAAAATGTTTTTCTTAGCCTTTGCCTGAAAAACTGCTTTTTACTTTTTCTAATACACAAAAAACATGTATTTTACCAAACATTACAATTTTTTACTTTTCAAATCACTTCTTTCTCAATACCATTAACTTTTACTATTAATCACTTCAAATCAATTCTAAAAGTGCTTTTCTAAAAGCAAAAACATTTGCAATCACTTTTTATATACTTTTCACAAATAAAAAGTAAATCTTACTTTTAATTTGAGTAAGAGACCCGAATTTGTGACGGAGAAATGGCACAACCATAGATACCAGAATCCCAATTATCCAACCCGTTCTGCAAATGGGCAAATTCAATGTTTAAAGCAGAGTAATTAATTAAGTAACCTGACAATAAGAGTAAGGAAAAAATCCAAAATCAATACAGCGCTGTGAAGATTATTTTCCAATCAGATGTACTCCCTTCGTCCCATAATGAACTTTTCAGTTTGACTTCACACACATTAAGAAAATAAATTTGACTTTACCGTAGAGTGCACTGTTTTGCACTGTTTAAACACTGTTTGACACTGTTTGGATACTGTTTGACACTGTTTGACACCTTTTTATGTAAATTATTTGTCAAATAAGGAAAATTTTGAAGTGTGAAATTAATTTTGGGACTGCCCGAACAAGAAAGTGAGAAGTTAATTTTGGGACGGAAGGACTAATTACTTATTTTGCCACGAAATTATTATATAAGTATGCTGTTCAGAAAGGGCTTTCTGATGTACGGAGTAGTAATGTGAGTGTACCACTGTAGCATACGAGACATTCGACCCCTGTGGCCCCGTGGGAAATCAGAAACTATGATCGGAGAGTGTGGCCGAGGGGCCTAGGGGTAACCCGTGCCCATAACCAACTTCAATTTTGATAAAACCTTTAATATTTTGTGTTAGAAAAATCACAGTAATTTGAGTTTGCATCTTATTTTATTGTCCAAATTAGAATTTGCATCCCATTTTTTAAAACTTTTGTTTTTTCACCCAACCCCATATGAAAAAACAAAAATGTCTTCGATCAATCCTCTCCTTAATAGCACTACAATTTTAGAAAATAAATTCCCGCTCACAGAAAGTCTTCTTATCATCCGTCTGATTTCACTAGTAAATCTACGGCTTATTTAACCTTCCTTTATTTCCCTTTGCTTGAGCACTCCTTCAGTCCTCTCCTTAATAGGACTACAATTTTAGAAAATAAGTTCCCGCTCACAGAAAGTCTTCTTATCATCCGTCCGATTTCACTACTCAATCTACGGCTTATTTAACCTACCTTTATTTCCCTTTGCTTGAGCACTCCTTCAATATACGTGTTGAAGATGGAGCCTTGTTTGGAATGCAGGAGTATATACCCGATCGGGTATATTGGGTTACCCGATCGGGTATGAGGTGTTTGATGGCTCGAGTATTTCCCTGGTTTCTACACTCGATCGAGTATTGATCATTACTCGGTCGAGTATGCGTGTAAGGGGTACTCGGGTTATATTCTGGAGTTTATACTCGATCGAGTATGGAGGTATACTCGGTCGAGTATGTGTAAAAACACTACTCGGGCAGAATTCTGGAATCTATACTCGGTCGAGTATGTATGTATACTCGATCGAGTATACGGGAAAAATTAATGACGGGATTAATTTTTGGGCCTGCGGCCTTAACCCTTATTTAGGCTTTCTTAAACCTATTTAAAGATCCCTAATGTATCTGTAAACATACTAGACGCTGGAATAATAATACATCTCTCTCTCGTTCGCCGTGGACTAGCGTAATCACACCGATTGCGTGAACCACGTAAATTCTTGTGTTCTTGCTTTAAATTTATCGTTTATCTTAGCCTAATCGTGATAATTAACAACTGGTATCAAAGCTATGGCTGACGAAGGGAAGGTTAAGATCGATAAATTTGATGGTCAAGATTTCGCTTTCTGGAAGATGCAAATCGAGGATTATCTCTACCAGAAAAAGCTTCATCTACCCTTGTCTGAGAACAAGCCAGAGACGATGGCGGAGGCGGAGTGGAACTTGTTGGACCGACAGGCTCTTGGTGTGGTGAGGTTGTCGTTGGCGAAAAACGTTGCTTACAACATCGTCAACGAGAAGACAACGTTTGGACTGCTCAAGGCGTTATCCAACATGTACGAGAAACCCTCAGCGGCCAACAAGGTTTTCTTAATCCGACAGTTGGTGAATACAAGAATGAAGGAAGGTGCATCCGTGACAGATCACATCAACGAGTTTAATTCAATCATATCCAGGTTAGGCTCGGTTGAGATTAAATTCGATGATGAAGTTCAAGCACTACTTTTGTTATCATCTTTGCCCGATAGTTGGTCCGGTACAGTCACAGCAGTTAGTAGTTCGGCTGGAACCACTAAGCTTTCCTTTGAAGGTATTCGTGACTTAATCCTTGGTGAGGATATCCGGAGGAGAAGTTCGGGGGATAGCTCCAATAGTTTGTTGAGTACTGAAGACAGGGGCAGAAAATCCACTAAAGGGGGGTAACAAGAAGGGAAGATCAAAGTCGAGGAAGAGGGGTCAATCCAAGAACAGGAAGGACATCAATTGTTGGAATTGCAAGGAGAATGGACACTTCAGAAATCAGTGCCCAAAAGCCCCAGCAGACAAAGGCAAGAAGGAGGTGAATGTGGCAGAGGATTATGAAGATGTTCTAATTTGCAGCGTTGAGAATTCAGTTGAGTCCTGGATCATGGATTCAGGTGCGTCGTTTCATGCTTGTCATTGCAGGGATTTGATGAAAAATTTCAGGCCCTACGGCGGAAGAGTTCGTTTGGCGGATGATAAATCCCTGGAGATCACGGGTATTGGGGATGTTGATCTCAGTACCACTTTGGGTACAACCTGGAGGCTGAAAGATGTCAGGTATATTCCAGACCTGAAGAAGATGTTGATCTCAGTAGGACAGCTTGATGAGGAAGGCCATAACGTTAGTTTTGGCAACAAGCAATGGAAGGTAACAAAGGGAAAGCTGGTCATTGCTCGTGGGCAAAAGCATGGTACACTGTACATGGTTGAAGTGTCTACAGATGGAGCAAACGCAGCAGTTGAAGATACAGGGATCTCTACTTTGTGGCATCAAAGACTTGGGCACATAAGTGAGAATGGAATGAAGATGTTGTCTTCAAAGGGCAAAATCCCAGATTTGAAGAATTCAAAGTTGACCTTTTGTGAGCCATGTGTTCTAGGCAAACAAAAGAGGGTAACCTTTGTGAAGACAGGACAACAACCCAAGACTGAGCGGCTGGAGTTGATTCATTCAGATGTCTATGGACCTACAAAGGTCTCTTCAATTGGAGGTTCCCGCTACTATGTTACATTCATTGATGACTCTACACGGAAGGTATGGGTTTATTTTCTTAAAAATAAATCCGATGTCTTTAACACTTTTAAGAAGTTCAAAGCTGCAGTTGAGAATGAAACAAATCTCAAAATTAAGTGTTTAAAGAGTGATAATGGGGGTGAGTATAGTAGCACAGAGTTTGTAGAGTATTGTGCTGAACAGGGGATCAGAATGCTGAAGACGGTTCCAGAAACACCACAGCAAAATGGTGTTGCAGAGAGGATGAACAGAACATTGAATGAAAGGGCCAGAAGCATGAGATTGCATGCAGGACTTCCCAAGATGTTCTGGGCCGATGCAGTGAACACAGCAGCATACTTGATCAACAGAGGACCCTCATCTCCCATTGGTTTCAAAATTCCAGAAGAGGAATGGAAAGGTCGTGAGGTATCTCTTAATCACTTGAAAGTTTTTGGTTGTATTTCTTATGTCAAAGTCAGAGATGCAGATAGTGACAAGCTTGAGGCAAAGGCAAAGAAGTGTATCTTTATTGGGTACGGGTCGGATGACATGGGCTACAGGTTCTGGGACAACCAAAGCAAGAAGGTTATCAGAAGTAGAGATGTCACCTTCAACGAGAATGCTCTTTATAAAGATGGTGTTGCAGCAGGAACAAGCAAAGGCAAGCAACCGGAAAACAAACAGCAAGTGGTGTTTGAAGGGATGACTGAAGATGACATAGCACAACCAGTCGGTTGTGATGAGACGGCTGGAGGCTCAGGGAGCAGTGGGAGCTCAGGAGATACAGGAATGTCTGAAGATAGTGGGAGTGATGAAGACAGTGGGAGTTCAGAGGCAGCTACTCCACACATCAGACAGTCCACCAGAATCAGGAGACCTCCTAACAGGTATTCTCCTTCAGCAAATTATCTATTGCTGACCGAGAATGGAGAGCCAGAATCTTACTCAGAGGCGTTGGCTGTAAGAGATTCCATACAGTGGAAGAAGGCCATGAAAGATGAGTTAGATTCACTTGACAAGAACCAAACTTGGTCCTTAGTCAAGTTACCACCGGGAAAGAAAGCATTGGAAAATAAGTGGGTTTTCAGAATTAAAGATGAAGCAGATGGAAGCAAAAGATACAAGGCCAGGCTAGTTGTCAAGGGGTTCCAACAGAAAAAGGGGGTTGACTACAATGAAATCTTCTCCCCGGTTGTGAAGATGACCACTATCAGGTTGATTCTTGGTATCGTTGCAGCTGAAAATTTACACTTGGAGCAGCTGGATGTGAAGACTGCTTTTCTTCATGGCAACCTTGAAGAAGACATTTACATGGCTCAACCGATAGGTTTCTCAGTGAGTGGTAAGGAAAAGTTGGTGTGCAAACTCAAGAAAAGTCTATACGGACTGAAGCAAGCTCCCAGACAGTGGTACTTGAAGTTTGACAGTTTCATGCAGCGGAATGGGTACACTAGATGCAAGATGGACCATTGCTGTTACTTGAAGAAATTCAAGTCATCATACATTATTCTTCTTTTGTATGTTGATGACATGTTGGTGGCTGGATCAAACATGCAGGAGATCAACGAGCTCAAGAAGAAGTTGTCCGAAGAATTTGAGATGAAGGATTTAGGGGAGGCGAGACAGATTCTTGGGATGAGCATAGTCAGAGACAAGGTGGAAGGTACTTTAAAGCTTTCACAGCAGAAGTACATTCAGAAAGTCCTTGAGAAGTTCAGAATGACGGATGCCAAGCCAAGGAGTACACCTTTAGGGAGTCAGCTGAAACTCTCCAAGCAGCAGTCTCCAAAGACCAATGAAGACAAAGATGAGATGGCTAAAGTCCCTTATGCATCAGCCGTTGGCAGCTTGATGTATGCAATGGTGTCAACAAGGCCGGACATTGCTCATGCAGTGGGAGTTGTTAGCAGGTTCATGTCGAATCCAGGGAAGGAACATTGGGAAGGAGTCAAGTGGCTGCTACGCTACTTGAAAGGCACTTCT